TGGGAAATTCTACGAAAAGGAAAAGCAATCGTCGGTAACCAACGGGTGAATCACGTCGAATTTCTCTATCTTGTGGACTGATTTGATATTTTGTTTTGTTTCCTTGATACCTAACAAACGTGTGAATATGTATTCAATACGCCCAGAATAGGTACTCAGAATAATTACCGTGTGTGTTGTGTGTGTTTAAATAATTGATGTGTAAAGTATTTTTTTATCATAAATAGATAAATTATTCAGCATGCTTTCAAGTAAACATCATCTGTCTCCCTCAGTCGCGCTTACTCTTTCCTCGCATATTTAATAAGGCCACCTAAGAACTAATGTTCGTTGGACTTCTCCTCACTCAAAATGAAATCGAAGTACCGATATTCTTCACTGTCAACCGGAACTCATCCATTTACTAAATAACAATGAAATGTAATGATTCATTGAAATATCTCGTAATAAATGTATAATTTTGGTTACAGATTCTGATACCCTAAAAGAATATGAAGCAGTGAATGAAAGAATGGGATTGTCTTGTGGAGTTTAAAAAAAAACGATCGAATTTATGTTCTACTAGATGGCATCGACTAAGATTAAAAACCTAAGGTAATCAATCTCTCTCTCTCTCTCTCTCTCTCTCTATATTAGGTAATCTTTATATATAACGGACTCTTTGATCTGTTATCATGACACAGAGAAAAGATGGGACTGAACAAATATTTCCTCATATTAAGCAATACAAGTTTTTAAAGAAAAATCTGCCAAATCAAGTTTAATGCTCATTGTCATAATATAATAATAGGAAGTGGTGCCATATAAATCTATGCTTTGATTTTTAAAACATATTTACAAATTACGTTCATATGAAAAATGATTGGTCTTTGTGAGGTAAAGCATTTGAACACATTTAATTAATCTACAGTGTATTTCATACCCTATAAATTTAATTCGTTACAGGAACTATTATACAAAGTGACTTTACGCCCTGAAGTGGTAAAGAAACAATATTAAACAGCTATTTCTATCGACTTCTTCAAAATTGTCAAATGGACGATTTTTTACGCAGCAACTGGTTCACTAAGACGTCATAATTCTTTTCTTCTGCTGTAATAAAGCTTTCATTTTGTCAATTGAATGAGGATATTTGAAATAATAATCTGCCTGAGAATTATAATTTTATACGCTCATCTTAAGGCAGGGCATATTTTGTTATGGCGTTCATGTTTGTCCATATGTCTGTTTACTTTTTCGTGTCCGGCTCATAATTTTTATACTATGAGCATAAAATAAACAAACTTTGTCAGCTGGTACATCTTGTGTTAAAGGTGTGTTTCACTCTAAAAATAGGTCATTGTGACCTTTAATTAAGGTGATATTGTCAAGAAAGGGGAAAATCCTGTCAGGCTCATTACTAGATAACTATTAGACCAAGAACCGTAATACTTGGCCAGTTGATGCATCTTAAATAGAAGGTTTGTCGCATCCTATTTAAAGGGCACTTTGACCTTCATTTAAGGCAAAATTTAAATATATATATATATATGTATGTCTTTACATTTTAAATTATATAGTCCCAAAAGATGTAAGAATATTGCAGATATTTAAAAAATGTTTCATCAAGAAAATACAGTTTTTTCTCATTGCTAACTTTACAACAATTTTTAACAAATATAATAACGTTTTGTTTGTGTCAAAAACAAGAGAGAAATTCCACATTGGTGTAATTATCAAGCAGTAGTCGAGAAGAATTTTAATAACAAATTAGATGTTGAATTAGAGATAAATTAATGAGTTTCCTGTGAGGAATTAACCGGTAGAGCATTTCTGATCAGGCAGATGTTATCTAGATCTCTTGGGAATTAAGCAAAGGAATTTAATTGCTCAGTCTTGGATAAAATTATCTTGTTGTCTAGCCTCTTTCAAAAGAAATCCGGTATAAAGTAATGAAAACTAATTTGAAATTGTACAGTGTGAATTTTTTTAATATTGTCCAGCAAATGACAATGGTATTAATTGCTTAGATAAAGACTTTTTGCAATACACAAAGTCTGGAAAAGGGAACAAATCTGATGGCAATTATGGCTGCTTAACGTCTATGAGAAATATTTAAGGGGGGGGGGGGGATCTCCTGCAGGGTCTTGGTTTACTCATCTCTGGGACTTGTCCTAACCTCATTTATTGGATATGTTTCCATTAGGAAGTACTGGCTCATTTTGCAACATTTTTAGAAAAAAATAAAGATACCAAATGCAGTTTATTATTCATAGTTCTTACCTTTTTTTTAAGTATCTGAGGTCAAATTCCATGTTTACCCCCATCACACTTCTCTGCCTAAATCTGTCCAGCATTATGCACAAATGTAATAAATTTGTTTGGTGAATGTAAAAATTCAATTAATGGTTTATTTGACAATATATTAGATAGAAAAAATATCAAAGAATATGAATTTTACCACTCAAATGATGTATATTTTTTACAGGGTATTACAGAAGAGGAATAGAATATTACACTGTGGCAGTTGTTGAATACTTGGGAGTAATAGAGAAGAACAAGTAAACCTACTGCAAGACTTTTTTAGGAAAACTCGATGAACAATTTATCATGTCTAATATTAATATGAATTTATTAATACTTAACTAAAAAGACACACAGAAAATTGCCAAAATTTCTTTAAATTTATCTGAATTGTCTTCCCTTAGCTCTCTAACAACCTCTTGTTAAAAATATTTACTTTTTATATTATATTTTAAGCAATCAGCGTTTAAGACTTGCAAATAAATCTTTTTTCAGACTTATTTTCTTAGCAAGCAACTGTTATCACATGTTATAAACATATACATTTAATAATGAATTTCTTATCAAATTGTTGTTAAAAAGTTGTTTTCCTTTAAAGTTTTCTGAATTAACTTCCCTTGTTATTCTAACAACTAGTTGCTAAGACATTTTCAGGAAGCTATCTAAGATATTCTTAACAAGCAATTGTTAAGGTTAAGACTTTCTTGAAGCTATTTAAGATTTTCTTAACAAGCAGTTGTTAGGGTTTAGACTTATTCAGAAATCTACGATATTCTTAACAACCAATTATTAGGGTTTTAAAAGAATTGCATTAATTGAAACATAGCTTTCTTAACAAGCAGTTGTTAAGAAAATATCTTGAACATACTCCTAATCTTTTTATTAAAAAGTTAAGACATTTTTCCCAATGTTTCCTGAGTTGTCTAGCCTTGGTCCTCTAACAACTAGTTGTTAAGAAAAGAATATTTCATTAAACTTGTATGTGCTATATTTGCTTAATAATTTTAATTGATTGTCAATTGTCAATTTTTATCCCGGTTTTCTAGCAAATTTTAAAAGGATTCCATGGACCTACTTCTAGCATCCTTAACAAGTAGTTGTTAAGAGTTTATTCCGTTTGACTTCCTTTCCATTTCTAACAACCAGTTGTTAAGAATATATCTTGTGAAATTCTTTTGGTATTCTTTACAAGCAGTTGTTAAGACTTTATTCCGTGTGACTTCCTTTCCATTTCTAACAACCAGTTGTTAAGAATATATCTTGTGAAAATCTTTTGGTATTCTTAACAAGCAGTTGTTAAGACTTTATTCCGTTTGACTTCCTCTCCATTCCTAACAACCAGTTGTTAAGAATATACCTTGTAAAATTCTTTTGGTATTCTTAACAAGCAGTTGTTAAGACTTTATTCCGTTTGACTTCCTCTCCATTCCTAACAACCAGTTGTTAAGAATATATCTTGAGAAATTCTTTTGGTATTCTTAACAAGCAGTTGTTAAGACTTTATTCCGTTTGACTTCCTTTCCATTTCTAACAACCAGTTGTTAAGAATATATCTTGTGAAATTCTTTTGGTATTCTTAACAAGCAGTTGTTAAGACTTTATTCTGTTTGTCTTCCTTTGCATTTCTAACAACCAGTTGTTAAGAATACATCTTGTGGAATTCTTTGGGTAGTCTTAACAAACAGTTGTTAAAACTCTGTATAAAAGTGTAACAGTTTTACTTAATTTTATTTAACAAGCAATTACTTAAGAATTCCTTCAGCTTATTTTTCGTGTTCTTAACAAACAGTTGTTAAGACATGCCAGATATATAATGGTTTCTTTAATAAGCATTTGGTAAGAAATGGAAAATAAAGTGTTTAAAGTATGCATAGATTTCAGTTGTCTTTTTTGTACTTAACAACCATACAGAGCTTTTGATCAAATGGAATTGATCAAGTTAAAATGGAAGGTGTTTTAATTAGAAACTAATTAAACCGAGTAAAATGAAATTTAATTGAAGACCAGTGCTAAATTCTTACCAAGTATTGCATCACTGTGATCTAGAAATGGCAAAGACATTATATTTTCCATTTGACTAACACTAAATATTTCTTTTTTAATCTAAAATAAAATGAATTACTGTTAACCAACTATTATTAGCGTCAACTTTTATTCGCGATTCGTCAGTTTGAAATGAATCCGCAACGATTAATTTTCACAACTGAGGAAACATTCTGTACAAACACAAAGCAAAATAAATGGTTCGCGACGATAAATATTCGCAAGTTAAAGTAGGTTGTGAAACTCTATTTTATAAATTTGGTACATTATTTAGGTTTCAATCTTCAGATTTCGTTTAGAAAAACCTAATATTGCCCTGGACTTTGAACCCAATGCTGCCCTGGACTCTGATCAGGACTTTGTACCTAATACTGCTCTGGACTAATATTGACTGGACTTGGAACCCAATGCTGCCCTGGACTCTGATCAGGACTTTGTACCTAATACTGCCCTCGACTATTATCGCCTGGACTTTGAACCTAACACTGTAGTGGGCTAATCCTGCCCTGGACTTTATCTTATACTGCACTGAACTTTAAACCTTATACTGCCCCAAACTTTAAACCTTACACTGCCCTGGACTAATAATGCCTGGTCTTTAAACTTACCACTGCAGTAGGCTAATCCTGCCCTGAACTTTGAACCTTATACTGCCCTGGACTTGTCCTCCTTACCTTGTCTTTTGAGTTGCCGCTCCCGTTTTGATGTTTGATCCTCCACATTGTTTAGCTGTTCTGTCAGTCGTTCCTTTTCCTCCTGATGCCTCATCACACTGACGTTAGCGTGAGCTCGGAGATCCCGAATCTCTGCCAGGAGAGACTGACGATCAGCGCTGAATATCTGCTCCAGAGACGACTTCTGATGGGCCTCCTGTTTTCAGAATTAAATGATCAGTTCTTATTTTTTTTTTTTACAGACTCATGTTTTCTATCTGACTAATTCATGAGGTCTTATTTCGTGGGAATCTCAAATACATGGCAGATTTTAAGAACAGATAAACACTGATAATGTTATTGTTTGTTGGGATGTAAATTAATGGGTACACTTAAAATCCCTCTCAAATAAGATGATTCCAGATTAAATAGTGGCTTCTTACCATAAAATTAGGTGTAATAGTGAGGAAATTTTCTACTCAATTCCATGAGTTTAAGCTTAATTAATCCACTCAAAAATTACATTTTTTGATCTGCCTTTCACCTTGTGAGAATTCTGGACCTTCTTCTTACCTGGTTCCTGATCTTCTGCTCTAGTTTCTGAATCTCGCTCAGGTCTATGTTTGGATGCGACAGGACATGTGACCTTAGCTCGGCCAGTAAAGTCTCCCGCTCTTTAGCAAAAACGTAACCAATGGAGCGTAACAGCTCACCCCTCCAATCAGAGACATCCGCAGCCTAAAATACGGTACAGTCAAATTAGTCAGAAACAACGACATCCAAAAACAGTTCTAATGACCAATAAATCTGGAAGAAGTCTGCCTTAAAAAGAACAAGAGAGTAAGTGACAAATACTGTAACAGTAACTGATTTAAATTTAAATCATGACAAAAATGAATTTTCCTTTTCCAAGCCTTTAATTTATGTGAAAATTATTATATTTTTAAAAAATCATTATAAAATACATTGTAATATATGAATTTATTCTATGCTAGTCACTTTTTCCCCTCCTATGACACTTTCCCTTTCAGCAATGAAAGTGCAGGATTTTCCTGTATGTACATGATGTAAGTATACATGTACTTGAATTTCATTTTTATCTCTTCTTTTTGTATATATAATTTTTTTCTTCTCATTAAAATCTAAAATTGACATTAAAAGAGAAAAATTCTATTCCATTAATGGAGGGTTGTGTCCCTTTATTTGTTGAGTTAGTTTGAACAAGGAAACAACACTGGTATAAAGTCTGGAAGAAGGAGAAGTTAAATGGCCTTCTGTAATTGCCCCCCCCCCCCCCCAATCTCCTAAATCACCGCACAAAGGAGATAATAAAACAACACTCAAACAGGGTTAATTAAATAGTAGAACAAACAGGAATCAGTTCCATTTTTAAATATTCAAAGTAATCAATTCAAATACAAAGGCAAATCTTTATTGATATTAACAACAGAAAATAGTGAAATGTTCATAAATAACATTAAAACAATGCTAACAAAAGCAGTTAAAAATTGAATGCTGGGAAAAGCTGACATTAAACATTCATTCAACTTACACATATATTATCACCGAAGTCCACCCAACATTCCTAGAATATGTAGATAATTATCATTTATCTGATTTATCTCAAAGTCCCCCAACATTCCTCGAATATGTTCAACTTGATAATTATCATTTATCTAATTTATCACAGAAGTCCACCCAACATTCCTAGAATATGTAGATAATTATCATTTATCTGATTTATCTCAAAGTCCACCCAACATTCCTAGAATATGTAGATAATTATCATTTATCTGATTTATCTCAAAGTCCACCCAACATTCCTAGAATATGTAGATAATTATCATTTATCTGATTTATCTCAAAATCCACCCAACATTCCTAGAATATGTAGATAATTATCATTTATCTGAATCATTCTACTGGTGTTTTGATTCCTTTCCAGTATATCTCAATTTTTAAAATTACAGTGTACAGTCAGTAAAATATATTACACATTATTAAGTCTAATCAATTAATTATTCTTTCCCTTTACTTACATAATTCTCTCCCTTTATTTACATAATTATCTCCCTTTATTTACATTATTATCTCCCTTTGGTTATACATTCACCTTGTTTCTGCTAGTTATTATTCTGTTGTTGTCAAATCCCCGACTTTCTGAGTTTGAGTCTGACTCAGTCAATTTTTCAGAGATTGTACAGTAGACTCTGTTTCTACTAGTTACCTTGTCAATACCCCTGACTTTGTGGGTTTGGGCGAGTAAATTTTTGAGAGACTGTACAGCCAACATCAGACTCTGTTTCTATTTATTTAGTTACCTTGTCAATACCCCTGACTTTGTGGGTCTGGGCCAGTAAATCTTTGAGAGACTGTACAGCCAACATCAGGCTCTGTTTCTATTAGTTACCTTGTCAATGTCCCTACACTTTGTGGGTCTGGGCCAGTAAATCTTTGAGAGACTGTACAGCCAACATCAGGCTCTGTTTCTATTAGTTACCTTGTCAATACCCCTGACTTTGTGGGTCTGGGCCAGTAAATCTTTGAGAGACTGTACAGCCAACATCAGACTCTGTTTCTATTAGTTACCTTGTCAATACCCCTGACTTTGTGGGTCTGGGCCAGTAAATCTTTGAGAGACTGTACAGCCGAGAGCAGACTTTGTTTCTCGTTCTCCCACGCCGCCTGTAAAGATCTTAGATCCACCTCCTGATTGACCTGGCTGGGAGGCATGTGACGATTCAAGAACTGTAACTCTGACATAGACAACATCTGTACGCCTTCCTTGTGGAGTCTGTTCATTAGGACCTGTGGAGGTTAATAGAGGTTAAAGGTCAGGTGGGGATGGTCAGATAAAGGTTATGGCATGTCAGTGTTGGCCAATTAAAATACTTGGGACACGTCAATTTGAAATATTCTTTATTTTCAAATTGTTCACAAAAAATGGCAGAAAAGACACAATTGTTATTAAAATTTTCAATTTTAATATGCTTAATGTATCACTGATATACTGGCTAACTTCTTTGTCACTTTGGAGGAGGAGAAGGAATATATTCAGGTTAAAGTTAATTTCAAAATTTTTCGAGAATTCTTGAACTATACAGATTGTAGGGCACCATGTTCATTTCAAGGAAAGTACACATAAAGAAAAATTAATTATCAATTATTACTACACTCTTTCAATCAGGGAGGCCATATGTTTTTTCTTTGTAGGACAGGAAAAACAAACACTGTAATATAGTAATTTAATTACCTGTAGTCTGGAAGGCACATTTTCGTCCACAGAGATTTCACTTTCGGCCACGTCACTTGCCTCTGTGGTATCTTGTCCATCAGGCCGTTGTGCCAGTGACCTAATTAACTGACTGTCCAAATGCTCCGTCATGGCAACTTCAGAACCCAGTTGATTGGCCAGATTCAAAACTGAGGCATCATGGGATTCTAAAATGTTAGGTGAAATGAATTAAGTTCTGATTTATTCTTCATACTAATCCATTTATGGTGCAAATAAAAGTTCAAGGCCTGCAGCTGTGTGAAACTTGCTCATTAACTAATTTCTTCATAATTCGTCATTATTAATTGTTCCCTAATCAAGACATGCCTAATCCATATTTATATCAAGCCATCATAAAATTTAACCTGTTTTACTTTGTATAGACTCAAATATCTCAAACTTGATATTTGTTAACATTAATTTTATTTCAATCTTACCTAAGACAGGTTCTCTGATTCTCAGCATTTCAATCTCGTGCTTGTGTCGAGCGAGCATGGAATTGATCTCAGTCTTGTGCTGTTTCTCGAGATCTCTCGTTGTCTCTCCAATCTTCTGAGCAATCTCCTTCTGATGAAGTTTCTTAATGTGCTCGATTTCATCCTCATATTTGATTCTGAGTTGAGCGAGATTGGTGTCGGACTCGAGTCTGTTTCTGTCGGTGAGATCCTGTATGTGTCTCTGATGCTGTGAACTGAGTTCTTCACGAAGTTCGATCACCTTCTGTATCAACAAAAATAAAACATTGACATCAATACTACAACCACAACCACAATATAAAACTACAGTGACACTTGTGTAATCCAGATGTTGTGTATTCCAAAGTCTTGCCTGATTAAATGGAAACTTTAAGTCTCTTTCAGTAAATTTAATTGCTTTAAAGGCTGTCTAATCCGGAATGTTGTCTAATCCGAAGAAATACATTGGAAGCAGTGGTGTCCGGATTAGACAAGTTTCACTGTATTATCATAACTAATTACTGTATACTGTGTTTTACAAGCAAGAACTTCACATTTACTTTGAAAGTAATTTACCAGATGGCTTTGTAACGAAAATAAATTTGTTGTGATTACTAACAGGATGTAAGAGTGATTAATTATTGAAGATACAATAAAACTGCGAATGTACATGTAAATGTTTCATGAAAAATAGTCTTGTTAAATATTAGCGATCTTTTTAACATAAAAAAAACATCAAATCTAGAGCACATCCCCATTAGGCTAAATAACTGCTCAAGACTCTTAGAAGGGGGAGTGAGTAGGTGGCAAATGAAGGCTATAAGTGCACTGACAAATTGTATAATCTATGAGTATACCAACCTGAACAAAGTCTTTGGCAGACATGGAAGCAGACTTCCTGAATAACTCAACCTCTGACCTACTGAGGTCAAGGTCATGTCGCAAGTCTAGAACAAGACGACGGAGTTCATCCACGTCCATTAATTCCAAATCAGCCTCAGACTCTGGACTTCCCTCCCTGAATACCTGCCTCTGTGATTAAAATTTATAAACATCAGGTAATATTTTAGGTATCACCTTTATTTCTGACCTAACAAGTCTATATTGCAACAAGACTCACATTAGTGTCATAAAAAATTCAGTTTCTTCACTTACAAATCAAGAATTAAACTGTTTATTTATACTGCCCCTGAGCATATTTCCTTTACCTAATACAAAATTACACTGACAGTCCCCCCCCCCCCCCTCCCACCACCACCACCGCCAAATGATGTAGTTCCATGAGGGGTTTCCTTGGCTGATTACAGTATCATAACATTACAATTATTCTGATTACATTATTATATTGTAAATTGTAATACCTCAGCACTACTTTCCCTACTGACTCCGCCTGCCTGACGCTGCATTTCTGCGAGGGCTTCCTTTGCTGTACGTAATTCCTGCTCCAGTTGGTGGAATTGTCTCGCTGCCTCCTCCGATAAACTCTCTTGAGATGTTGGTGCTGCTTTGGTGAGTTTGGCATGAAGGTCTCTGAGCTCACGAGATTTTGTCTCGAGCTCTTCTGATTTAGATTCCAATTCCTGCTGAGATTTTTGTAGATTTCCGTGGATTTCTTTAATTGCATCATCTCTCTCCTAAAAACAATATTCAAATTAAGCCTCAAGGATTAGTTTATCTATGAGATTTTATTGCAGGGCTACCAATCCAACAAACTATGGTCTGATTAAAACATCAATTCCCCAATATCATCCAAGTGACAATTTTTTGTTAATATCTAATCAGGAAATTCCCATTACTCCCAATATCTTCATCAGAGTACAACAAAAACAAAGAAGTCATAAATAAGTAAGTTTATTTATTTAGAATATTGAAAAATACTCACTTACATGAGGCACTTCAATCCTGCCGTTTAATAAATATGTCCCACTTTAGTGAAAAATGTTTATAATTTCCCTATTTTGAGGGACTCAGCCCCAGTTTCAGAACGTGCCATAACAGCCATGTATTGTTGAGATGAGCTGAGCTGTATTTCTCACAAATCTCACCTTAAGAAATTTTTCAGTAATATCTCATCTCAACCTAATTTTTCAGTTGTATCTCACCCTGATTTGATTTTTTATTTACATCTCAACTTGAGTTGATTTTTAAGAAATATTTCACCTTGAGTTGATTTTTAAGAAATATCTCACCTTGAGTTGATTTTTCAGTAATATCTCACCTTGAGTTGATTTTTCAGTAATATCTCACCTTGAGTTGATTTTTCAGTAATAGCTCACCTTGAGTTGATTTTTCAGTAATATCTCACCTTGAGTTGATTTTTAAGTAACATTTCACCTTGAGTTGATTTTTAAGTAACATCTCACCTTAAGTTGATTATTAAGTAACATCTCACCTAAAGTTGATTTTTAAGTAATATCTCACTTTAAGTTGATTTTAAGTAATATCTCACCTTAAGCTGATTTTTAAGTAAGATCTCACCTTGAGTTGATTTTTAAGTAAGATCTCACCTTGAGTTGATTTTTAAGCAACGTAACCAGCGAGATAGCATCACCACCAGCTTCTAGTGACAAATCCTGGATTCCCTTCAACTGTCTTAACTCCTTCTCGAGTCCATCCAGAGTCTCTCTCTTACTCTCAACTTCCTGTTGAAGCTGGGATATCTCAAGCTCGCTACTGGAGCTCTGAGCTGTCAGCTGCTTTTTCAGATCTCGAATTGTCCTATCTTTCTCTGCAATCATTTGTTGAATCTCCAGCTTCAATTTCATAAATTCCTCATCTTTCTGCTCCACAATGCGTAGTTGTTGTTCACTTAGTTCCACGGCTTCCCGGAGCCTCTGTTTCACATCCTGAAGTTCATGATCTTTTTCACTCAATAACACATCCAGCTCCTGTTTGGCCTCAGACTTTGGCCTCAGGCTTTGCAGTCTCTGGATTTCTTCCTCCTGTTGTTTAAGCCTTGTGTTGGCCTGCTGTAGTTCGTCAGTAATTTTCACAGTTTTTTCCCAGTACTCTGCTTGTAAAGCCTGAAAAGTATTTTATTTACTTTAATTTTTTATTATTTTTTTTTTAATTTATAGGTTTGTTCTTTTAATTTTACAAGGTAAGATATTTTATGCAATTGTGACCAGTGACTTTGATCTTGTACATGTACATACAGGATCATTCATTTTAATTGAAATACATATACAGTGTACTCTAAACTATTAATTGATTTTTGTCTGTTTGAAATCAATTAGTGACTATCAATTTTTGCATCTGTAGGAACATTTCTACATAATCAACCAATTTAACAATTATTGTTTTGTGGTGATAAATATCAGTGAGTAAAAAGCAGGTCATGAAATTTTTGGATATTTTTTGTACACAAATAAATTTAGTTTATAATATGCGTATTACCTGTAGGTCATTCTCCTTGTCCAGTAGCTGTGAGCTGACCACTCCGAGATTCTGTTCGGCCTCAGTCAGTTTGATGTTGGCTGTGGTCAGTTCCTGTGCGGTCTGTTCTAGTTGTTCCTGGGTCAGCTGTAGGTGTGACCACGCCCCCTCAGACTCTGCCCCTTGTTTCTTGACCTCCTCTAACTGCTCCTCAAAAGCTCGTAACTTCTGGAACTGCTCCTTAATATGAGAGACAGTTGGGAAATCAAAACAAAAATCATATCAGTTTGTAAGAATCAATATACATCTCTTATAAAGCTTTTTATCACGTTAGCATTTGTGTGCATGTGGGGAGGGGCGGGGGGAGGGGTCTCACATTGTCTTGAATAAAGGCAATCTTTAGTGGAAAATAATTATTTCATATTTGCTAAGATGCTTGATAATGTAAATTCTTGAATGTTTTTCAGCTCTTTCAGATGACAAACTAATATGTCATGTTTCAGACTTGCATCTTTATTCTGTTTATAAGTCTACTGGACTCATAAGTCTACTTATATCTTTATCTCTATATACACATGTCAGACTTGCAACTTTATTCTGTTCATAAGTCTACTGTACTTATAAGTCTATTAATATCTTTATCTTGATATACACATGTCAGACTTACGTCTTGCTTGTGTTTGTAAGCCTCTATCTCATTTTCTAGTTCCTGTATCATGCCTTTCTTCTCCTCTATGTCAGAACTCAGGTTACGAATCTCCTCCTTTTTGTACGTCAGCTCCTCATTCAGATTGTCCAGTTCCTCTTCCTGTGAAGTGACCTTGACCTTCAGATTCTCCAATTCCTGACTCAGGGAATCCTGGGAAAATTTTTCAAAATTTGGTTTTAGAAAAGAAGAATAAAGTTTTCAAGATAACGCTGAAATAAACAAAGGTTCCTATCAATGTGATATTTAATTTGAAGCAAAATAAATTTTCCAAAATTATTCCAAATTTTTCTCCATCATCAAATGGATACTCATTTCAAGGAATGAGAGACTATATTTTTTTTTTAATTTCTATTTTTAGAGGTTTAAAATCTATTTTTATTTCTAATGACAATCCTATTTTTCAGTCAATGCTATAAGTAACAAAGTAAATAGAAATTTAAACAATTGAATTTTTGCCAAATAATGTGCTTTTAAACTCAGAAAAAAGTTTTAAATTTGAAAAGTACATGTGCACTGACAGTAAAAATGATAGGGTGGGAACACACAACAGGAAAAAAAAAATCTAAAAGTGCTACAGAGAGAAAAGTTCTACCTCTACACAAAGCTAAATAAATACTGCAACAGAGTTGTGATCTCTACCACTATATTAATCTACTACTGAAAAATAAATACTGCTACAGAGGCGGGACTTCTACCACTACACAAAGCTACTACTAATGAAGCTGTAGATAGATAAGACTGGGTCAAACTAAAGCTGCAAGTCTACTGTCTGAATCTAGACTGTGTTAGTACATGTGTACTGTATCTATTTATTTCCTTTCATGTTTAAGAAGCAGGTTACAATGTAAGCATTTATTTGTATCAGTTCCTACATCCATCTACTTCTCACATCACCTATAGCTAGTAACAAACTCATAGTTTCTATAGTGAATCCTTGAATAATGCCACTTGATTATAGTATATAAGTCAGTGAGAATCGTAAACAAAATATCTTGGTCTGGAAAATGCGGGAGAAATTCTGCACAATCTTCCCACAAGATTTTTACAAATCCCAGTTTGAAAATGAAATGGCAACATGAGCTACTGACACCATCAGTATACAGAACAGTCTTCAGCATGAAAAATCTCTACCATATAGGAAATGAGATAAAGATCAACAAATTATAAATACTTTCCTAATCCATAAATAATTGATGACCTACTAATTAACAGTACAAACTAGACTGAACTAACTTCTTAGTTTGACCTAATGTACTGAGTTGTATTGAGATATGTCAGTCTCCACCTATCTTGGTGCTGAGATATGTCAGTCTCTAACTATCTCGGTACTGAGATATTTCAGCCTCTAACTATCTCAGTGGATCTCAATGGGAATTATTTACAGCCACAATTATTTGCCAATAAAACCATTTAAGTAAAATCTTACTTATATTCTTAAATATTTTGAGCATGTCAATAAAATTTACTGACCATTTCTACTTCACAAGATTCATTTCTAAAGAAGGTGATTCATCTATTATCACCACAGAGCCAAACTATGACATATTATACATTTATTGCATGATCGTGAGGGAAATATGAAGATTTATTCCGCCAAGAAAAATCATATTCCCGATATTTCGATATTTTGATATTTCTTGGCAGAATAAATCTTCATGTTTCCCGAACATCCATGCAATAAATTGTTTATTATACCGAAACAATCAAAAACTTTGAAAAACATAAACTTTCAAATTCGGCCCCGCTCTTAAATTCACTTTCAATTTTTAACGTAGTGTTACTGAAACATTTTATGTACAGAATTTGCGGCGTGAATCAAGCTATTGTGACGTCTTACTTACTCTCGGGAGTTTTCGTTCAACGAACAATAACTATTGCGGGAAAATGCACCAGGTTTCCGAAGAGGTTGAATATGATGAAAAGCATGACAACGACAGGGAAATATGAAGTTTTATGGCTCTGTCACGTGATAATCTAGAACCAATCAGATTACGCTTTGTATAGAATAATTATAATGAGGTATAATAATATTCATTATTTTTGTCACAGTATAAGATGCAATCATTTAAGTTATTTACTGACAGAAAAAATTAACCATTCTGATCCAGAAAAAAAAGAACCACCATGATCAACTCTGTGACCCAAAACTTTTCATCAACTTAAATCTCACACATTTTAATGTCACCAACCCCTTGAAAACCATATCACCACACTAAAATAAAGTAATATATATATTCACACCTATCCACTAACCAATCAAAACCCTTTCCACTATACCCATATCCTACACTGATTTGACAGCATGTATAAGCCAAACCTGATCGATGCTTCCAGAACTAAATTGTCCTGACCCTTCTGTATAAGTAAACTGTACTGGTCCCTCAGAACTAAACTGGGTCCCGGCCCCCGAGCTGAACTGTACCATTAGCCGCTGTTTGTTTTTCTCTTGTTTCATTTCAATACTTGCCAGCTGTGGGCTGGTCGTTGATTCTGACAGAAAAACTTCTGAAAGATCACCCTCCTTCGACCATCTCGGAATTTTTACCTCGGGTGATCTCGTTTTGGATCTCGGGCTCGCCATGTTGGACATTCTCTCCTCTTCCAAAGATTCCTGGTTTTCCACCATTCTCTGTATCTCAGCGCGCAATGTCTCGATCTCGTCTTCTTTTTCTGCTAAGTTCTCAAGATCATCTCGCAGTTCCTGTATCTGTCTATCCCTTTCATTCACCTCCTCGAGAAGTTTCACAATCTCACTGTCCTTCTCAAGTTCCTTATCTGCAAGATATTTTATATTTCTCTGTAGCTTCTGAATTTCATTTTCCTTATCCTCCAAGATTTTCAAATCTTCCTCTAATCTTGAAATTTCTCTGTCTTTTTCCTTCAAAGTCACGAGTTCCTTATTCAGGTTTTGGATCTCAAGGTCTTTCTCCTTTATCTCAGATTTCAACTTCTCCGTCTCATCCCCTTTGTCATCACAATTCTGCAATTCTTCTTTCAACCACTGAATCTGGTTTTCTTTATCAGCGAGACTTTTTAAATCTCGTCTCAGTCCCTGAATTTCCTCGTCCTTTTCTTCAATTTGTTGTTTTAGCTTCTTCATCTCATTCTCGTGCTCATCAACACTGTCTAACTCATCTCTCAACCACTGTATCTCATTTTCTTTTTCTGCGAGACTCTTTAAATCTCTTCTTAATCTCTGAATCTCCTCCTCTTTGTTATCCAAGTCTTCAAGCTCCTCTTTTAATTTCTGTATCTCAACATCACGGTGTTCTATCTCCTCATTTTTCTTTTTTAGTTGCTCTTCATAATCTTTCTCAAATATTCTCTGTCTTAATCTCATCAAATCTTCTGCAAAAGAACTCAACTCCTCTTGAGATTCAAAACTTTTAAGTCTTTTTCTCAACATCTCGACCTCCTCCTTTGACAGCTTGACCTCCGAGACTGCTCCTTCTCTCACGAGATCTCTTATTCCAGAGAGTTGTTCTTTGAGGTGCTGCATCTCTAACATCCTTTGTATAACCTGCTCATCTTTCTCGTCCTGTTTTATGAGCCCGCGAATGGCCGTGAGTTCCTGTTTGAGACGCTGTATCTCGTTACAATTTTCCTGTAGCTCAATGTCTCGTACAGCAGACTGTGAGATAAAAGGCTTGTTATGTGAGTTGTTTCTACATTGTACCCTGGAGTATTATTTTCCTCGACATTTGCACAAGGTACTTTGAGATTAAATAAGGATATTTCTGCGATAAAGATAACTCTCCTACTAACATTTTTCTAATTAAGTCTACTCTTAGACTACTTACAGCATTTTTTAGCTTTATAATTAAAATTACTATAAGGAATTGAAAGTACATCAAAAGTTACTGAATAAAAAGTTTTGTTCATGCAAACCCTATCTTTCCTTCCCTTCCCATAGAAAATATACACTCAGCATATTTGCTTGGCATGCCAATTAAATCATGCATATGTGTATTTCAGATTGATATAATTATATCAATATTTCTTCATCTTCATAATAGTAACATTTTTACTACATGATCCCTACTTATTTCTGTAACTTCAAACCAAAGCCTGTAAATTTACTTTTCTTTGATAATTTTTATCACACTTACTAAAACTTATACTGAGCCCCCTCCCCCTCCCCCCCCCCCCCCCCCATCTCTGGTGATAGACAAGTGCCACCAATGTGGTGCATGATGAATGTGAAATTTTCTGTGACCAAAGTGAACGTACCATGTAGAAACACCAACACATGAAGCATGCTAACAGTATACAACTAAATTACATATATTTAAAGCAGAAAAGCTAGCAAACACAGGAAATATAGGGAATAAAAATTATGTTAAACTGACTGCAGTTCATCCATTTTAAACAATGTTTGGTAAAAAAAAGAACTGAGCTAAAGTGTTAGATATAAAAGCATATTTTTTTGAAAGAAGAAAGATGTCTACTTCACTTTAGAATTGAATATTTTTCATACTTTAAAATAACAACTGATAAGTTGGCCACGACAAGAGGCTTAGTTATAGCTACAGATATACATAAAAGCTAAAAACTAAATTTTTTAGCACAATTTTCTTTCAAAATTAGATAGCTTTTTCTTTAGCTTGGTTGACATGTAAAATGCAGTTCTACTTTAGTCAAAAATGCCTGTTCCTAGATCCTATGCGTATGGGGGATAATACCAATATCAATTTACAGCACAATAGGTCTGAATATAATTCAGTTAACATGGTTAATGCTAGCAATACCTGTAAACTTTCTTTGAAGCTAGCAAACTCTGCCTTGACCTTTTCTAACTCCGCCTCTTTTTCCTTTAACAAAAGGTCAGAGTTCACGGCACTGGTTTGCTCCAGTCTAGTCTGGGTATCTCCACCAGCTGCTAGCCGCTCCTTGACCTGACTAAGCTCAGCCCGAATTTCTTCTGCCTCTCGAGTCCTCTCTTCTAAAGCTGCCCTCAATTTGGCACTTTCCGTGAGTTTATTTTGAAGAGATAAAATTTCAGATTCCTTTTCGGCTAGTTTCTGAGATAAACTTTGCTGACCTGTTTGTGCTTCCTTTAATGGGGTGAAAAAGAGACAAAGTTGTGCTAATAATACCCATGAACATTTTCATCCCCTCTGTTACACTGCAGGAGGTCAGAGGTCAAGTCCCTCATCATTTTCCAACCATTTTGTGGGCACATCATTGGAGAAAAACTAGTGCAGCTTAATCTAAAATACTTAAAATCAAGCAAACAGCAAAGTGGGAGTTTGCTTTTCTTAGTAGCTAAAACTGCTAAATGAGTAATGCAGTTATGGTACCCCCATTGATTAATATACAAAATCCAATAAAGTTGGCTTAAAATTCATAAGTTAACAGTGAAAAAGCAAAAATTAAATTATGAGAAAATGATACAAAAAGGTGCACTTTAATATTTTGAAATAAATTTAGTGTTAAACATGTTAAATGAAATCAATTTATAGGATTTTAATTATCTGTAAGGACCAGTGAAGGTTGAAACTGTCAAAATTCTAATTACATGTAAATGAGAGTATTTACAATTATTTTGGAACATGTCACAAAAGATGGTTGGAGATTGATGAAGGAAAGGGATGAAAATGTTCAGAGGATAAAACCACACAATAAACAGGAATGGATCTGGTAAAAACCATAACCTTATCACACAGTGTAATATATAGATCAAATGTTCAGAATATTATAAATGTAAAATGGTCCATCTCCAATGAAATTTGAATGCCTGTGCAAAGAATGAAATCAAACTTTTGCAATAATGCTTAATTCTTTTTTTTCTTGAAAATTTCAATTTCTGGAGTATACCAAAGAGTTACCCTCCATTACTCTATGAGAGAGAGAGAGAGAGAGGAAGGGGAGGGAGGGAGAGGGGGGTACCTGTTGTTCCAGTTTTTCGTTCAGTAGATACATCTCCTCTGCTTTCTCCTCTATCACGTTGTCTTTTTCTTTCAGATCTTTCTTCAGCTTAGAAATCTCCATCTCAAGTTTAAGCTGCAAGAATTTACATAAATTTCTGGATAGATTTTACACTGCAATTGCTTTTTTTTTATCAAAAAAAGAAATTCAGTCATGACACATGCATATACAGATTCATGCATAAAGCAAGGACTCTCGTTCCTTTACACTCTAAACCAAGACAATCCAATTAAATACATTTTGCTCTATCTACTACATAAAAATTTTTCTACATTTATCCATGTAAGCATAAATCCATCCCTTAAATTCCGATATCCATCAACTATTTCCTCATTGTGATCTTCTTGGACTCTTTTACCAAGTACCTATATTTATCAACATATGCCCCACAAAAAATCCGACATCCATCTACCAATTCTCACTGTGATCTCTGGATCCCTCAGACAGGAAATCTATATTTATATACATACACCCCACAAATTCTAACATCCACCTACCAATTCTCACTGTGATCTCTGGATCCTTTAGACAGGATATCTATATTTATCTACATACACCCCACAAATTCTGACATCCAATTACCAGTTCTTTGCTGTGATCTCTGGATCCCTTAGACAGGATATCTATATATTTATCTACATACACCCCACAAATTCTAACATCCACCTACTAGTTCTTCTCTGTGATCCTCTGGGACTCTCTCAATGAATATCTATATTTATCTACATACACCCCACAAATTCTGATATCCACCTACCAGTTCTTCACTATGATCCTCTGGGACCCTCTCACTGAGCTCCCTCGTCAGGGTGTCAATCTCTTTCTCTTTTTCTTCCAGCATTTGTTGTACTGTGTCGAAATCCTCCTGGAGCTTGTTCTGAAATTTTACAGACATTATACATTTTTTTTTTTTTAAATTACTGTGGAATCCTTGTCCATCTGTCTAATTGTCTGTCTGTCTATCTGTCCACTGTTTACCTGGAAATCAGTCAGACTCTCCACTATTTGTATGTTCATTTGCTCTATAAGTATCTATCTGTTTGTCTGTCTAACTGTTTAATTGTCTGTCTATTTTTACCCGGAAATCAGTCCACTTCACCATTAAGCCCCTCTATGCTCTATAAGTGTCTGATTGTCTCACTGTCTAATTATATATCTGTTTTATTGTCTGTCTATCTGTCTGCTGTTTACCTGGAAATCAGTCAGACTCTCCACTATCTGTATGTTCATTTGCTCTATAAGTGTCCATTTCTCTGTCTAATTGTCTATCTTTCCATTGTTTACCTGGAAATCAGTCACTTTCCACTGTTTGTATGTTCATTTGCTCTATAAGTGTCTGATTGTCTATCTGTCTAATTATCTGTCTGTCTAATTGTCTGTCTATCTGTCCACTGTTTACCTGGAAATCAGTCAGACTCTCCACTTCTCCATTAAGTCCCTCTATTTGTAAGTTCATTTGCTCTATAAGTGTCTCTTTTTCCTGCAGGATTTCATTAAGGTAGGCATCCTCTCTAGCAGGGGAGGTAACTGGCTGCTGGGAAACAGTACAGATTTTGTTAGTGAGGCAACACAGTTTAGCTTTTCACCAGGAATTGAATACATGTAAATAATTACATTACGGTACACATGAATATAAATTGATACATAAATTGTTCCCTCACCTTGTTTTAGAGCGGGTAATTTAATAGGATTTTAAGGAAAATAAGAAAAAATTTTTTTCTTATGGCTCAAGACATTAGGATTTAGAAATAAAATTCACTTAGGACTAGCTTTCATTGTTTAGTTGGAGAAATATTTTATGTGTGGGTAAAAGCCATAAAAACACCTTTTTAATGCTTCCAGTACTTTGACCTTGGCAACAAACTTGCTGCCCTGACAACAATCCTATTACCTTAGATTTTTCCTCAGAGAGCTCCCTTGACTTGTTCTCTAGTTCCATCATCTTCTCATCCAGTGTCATATTAAGGCCGGCTATCTCCTCTTCCTTCTCCTTAATGGTCTGTTGATGGGTGACTATTTCTTCCTCCTTCAGCTGAAGAGCTGACTTGAGTTGTTCATATTCTTCCATCCTTTGGGCCACGGAATCTTCCAATTCCTGTTGCAGATTTGTCTGAGGCAAAATAAAATTTAAAATCTTTTTAAATCTTCAATGCCAAAATTTTACTGTTGTGCATGGAATTGTGTGATACACTGTGTCATACTAGCCTGGGTTACTGGGATAACCCTTTAATTGGTTGGTAGATATTAAAGAGGTTTGGGTTCGATCCCAAGCAGAGGGACAAACTTGTCTATGGTACACTATAAAAGAACACGTGCCATATTTTTTTATACAAGTTAAGGGTTATACCACCATAAGGTTCATTCTGTATACCCCTTCCATAATACCATTTCCTAGCCTGAATGTGATCATATTTTACCTTTTCAGTGAAGGACTCCGATACCCCAGGAACCCCGTCGTTGTCGCTGATGTCGGAGAACGTCGAGGCTTGGGAGGCTCGTACTAGCTCCATCTCCTTCTTCTCCAGGTCAGCGCGGAGTTTGTCCACCTCAGATTGCTGTCAGGATAGAATTAGAATTGACATCTAATCATTATCTCTGATAGTGTTTTAACAGATTCAGAAAAGAGACTTAAAGTTATTAGTTTGTTTGTCACTTGAGTGAAGGTCATTGAAATGGTTAGATATCAGATGAGATGGTCTCAATGATTTTTGGAGAAAAAGTGGATGAAATGAAACTATATAAGGTGGCTGGACTTGAGTACATATGAAACTGTTATTTTTCTTATGGGCTCAAGTTGCATAGCTAAGATTTTGTACCATATCAATTTATTTTAGAGAAATTCCCACTAATTCTTTATTACTGATAAAAATTCCTTTTTTATTTTTTATTATTATTTTTTTTTTTTTTGCAAAAGTACTGCAACATAAAATTACAGCAAGAAAAATTTTAATTAATTAATAAGTTCCAATTAAACTGTAGGACTAAAGACCTGAAACAATGTCTAATGTCAAGTATAACTGCAAGAAAATACATACCATTTCTGCCAGTGCCTCTCCGGACTTGAGAGCCGAGATCTGGAACCGGAGCTGTTCTATTTGGTTGTTAAGATGATCAATCTCCTGGTTCTTCTCCTCAATCAGGTTCTGAGTCAGAACTGACATTGGTGTCGTATCGACCTCCTTCTCTAAACTTCTCAGTCTCCGCTATTAATCAGAAATAAATATATTACAATCAGGTTCTCAGTCAGAACCGACATCAATGTCGTATTGACCGCCTTCTCCAGAATTTGCAGTCTCCACAGTAAATCAGAAATAAATACATAACAACCAGGTTCTGAGTAAGAACCGACATTGGTATCGTATCGACCTCTTTCTCCAGACTCTGTGGTCTTAATGAAAATTGGAAGCAAAATAATCACGCTTAAGATACTTCATGAACACATGATAAAAACATATTTATTATTTACATTTCAAAACTAAATCCAGTTTTGAATCTTACCTTTAAATCCTCATTTTCATTCTGGAGTTCTTCCACCTGGTTTTCTTTCCTGCCCTCTGATTGGCTGGTCTCTTTAGAAGCCTGAATCTGATTGGTCAGTTGACTTATCAGTTTCTCCTTGTTGCTTAGAGATTCCTCCATGTCAGCCAAACGTTCCTTTAACTCCGCAATCTGTTAACAAATTAATTTACAACTTTTGCATGTATTAACTTCATTTCATCCCAGCCCCAACTATTAAGTTACAATTTGAATTTTCATACATAGAATCATAATTATGATTCTGAATGTAGATTTTCCATCTTAAGCCTGCACCATAGCAAGGATTAATACAAGTTGTAATCTTGTAGATTTTCCATCTTAAGCCTTCACCATAGCAAAGGATTAATACAAGTTGTAATCTTGTAGATTTTCCATCTTAAGCCTGCACCATAGCAAAGGATTAATACAAATTGTAATCTTGTAGGACTTGTTTCTTCATTGAAACTGAATAAATAAATTTTCTTTCTTTTTTTTCTCAGGTGTTAATGGTGTCAGTGCTACTTTCATCCCAAAACCTCATGATTATCAAGATTAATCTTGGACATACTTGAATTAAATTGATTAATCAACACTAATATGGGATAAAATGTTTCATGAGCATGTTCAAATACAACATTTATTTTTCAGGCAATGCCTACTGCTTAAACCCTCTGACCTTGACCCAATTACATTTGACCCTGACCTCTTTATCTTTCTCCTCTGTGACCTCTCTTTGATTGTCCACCTGTCTCTGTAATGATGTCGTTTGACTCTCGTCCCCGAAACTTCCTGAGTAATCCCCCCTGTGTCTCATCTCGTCCAGCTGATTGCGGAGGGCCGAGATCTGTTTGAGTTGGTCCTCGAGCTGAATCTGTAACTGTTCTTTTTCCTGGTAAAGTGCCTGTTGAGATAAATCCCAAAATATTGAGATAAATCGCAAAATTTTGATATAAATCCCAAAATGTGGAGATAAATTCCAAAACAAATCTCAAATTGTTGAAATAATCATAAAATGTGGAGATAAACCTCAAAAAAAAAACAGAATTGTTTCTGATCTGTTGAAGATTGATTCTGCTTTTAATGGAATGTGTGGTTAAGTTTTTCACATGGCATTGAACTTAATGGTTTGGAAACATGAGGAATAGGGTTATAATAATCATTTCATCCATCAAATTAACAATTATCTATTGATCTATTAATCTACATAAATCATTTTATGATCACAGACGTAAAATACATCTAAATCAAATCTTCCCATCATGCATCAAACAGACCTCTTCCTGTTGCAGCGAGATGTGGGACGGCAGTTTTCTCCGACGTCTCATGGCTCGAGTCTCACTGCCTGTCGACTCGGACTCGCTGTGACCTTGATCTTCCTCTTCCTCCTCCTCTTCCTGTTTGTCCGACATCTCTCCGACAGATCGACGTCGCTCCAATAATCGCTGTAACTGACTAATTTTCTACAACAGAATGAAACCCTGCATTTATAACTCTGTACATGGAACAAAGTCTAATCCCTGAATATGCTGAATGGAGAGTATGATATAAAATATACTGCCTGATGATGAGCAGTTTAACACCATATTGCCATTGAATTATACAATATTTATATAAAATCTGTATGCAAAGGTCAAAAGTGGCCATCACTGATTATTACTTCAATTTCTGATGATCAGATGTAGTTAATTGCAAGATATGAAATTCATAAAACACTACATGCACCTCCAGTCCTCTAAATACATTTGATCAAATTTTCACATCACTCTTCATGTAAACACCTTTCTGAGGTTCCTTTCTTTAGACCCTCCTTAACCTTCTACACTTTACCTGTTTATATTCTTGCTCTGTTTTTGCGCGCTCCTCCAGTTCCTGTTCCAACTGCCGTACGACGGCTGTTAATTCCTCCGTCGTCATCTGTTTATCTGACAAGTCTCGCTGTAAACGCTCCGTCTGCATCACGATCTCACTGTGACTGTCAATACGGTCCTGTAACTCCTCTGTCAAATTTTCCACCTGTAAACAGAATAGGGACTGTATCAAAATTCAAATTCTCCACCTGTAAACAGAATGGGGACTGCATCAAAAGTCAAATTATCCACCTATAAACAGAATGAGGGCTGCATCAAAAGTCAAATTCTCCACCTGTAAACAGAATAGGGACTGTATCAAGTCAAATTCTCTACCTGTAAACAAAATGGGGACTGCATCAAAAGTTAAATTCTCCATCTGTTAAACAGTATGGGGACTGCATCAAAAGTCAAATTTTCCATCTGTTAAACAGTATGGGGACTGCATCGAAAATCAAATTCTCCACCTGTAAACAGAATAGGGACTGCATCAAAAGTCTAATTCTCCACCTGTGAACAGAATGGGGACTGCATCAAAAGTCAAATTCTCCACCTGTAAACAGAATGAAAACTGCATCAAAAGTCAAATTCTCCACCTGTAAAACAGAATGGGGACTGCATCAAAAGTCAAATTATCCACCTGTGAACAGAATGGGGACTGCATCAAAAGTCAAATTCTCCACCTGTAAATAGAATAGGGACTGCATCAAAAGTCTAATTCTCCACCTGTGAACAGAATGGGGACTGCATCAAAAGTCAAATTCCCCACATGCAAACATGCTCCTTCTGTAAGTGGTATAGGAGCCATCTCGAAGTCAAATTCAACACATAACAGATGTAGATCATTCCTGCCATAGAATAGGAAGTATTTCAAAAGTAAAAAAAAATTATCTTATATAAATAAAATAAGATTATCTCAAAAGTTCTTTCAAATATAAATGCATGTTGTCTAAAAATCTATGAAAGTAAGATGGTTCCATTTGTACGAGAGATTCAAGAATCTTTTTGACATGTACATGATGTATGAGATCCATTTGGTGAAACGCTCTGCTTTGTAAAGTTAGCTAGTTATGTCACAGTGAACAAAATCACATCAAAAGTGAAAATGTGAAATAAAAGATGTGGAAAACTTCTAATTTTTATTTTTGTTTTTGCATGTTTCCTTATGCTCTAGACATAGATCAAAAGCGCATGATGTTTAAGTAAATGATTCCTACGCCTAAGCAATTGGAGCAATAACTTAAGAAACCAAGAAAGATTTCAAATACCAATGGCAACCTCAGAACAGAAATTAAACATTTTCCTTTCAAACCATTCAGACCAATAGAATACAGCATATATTTCTTTAGGAAAAAGAAAACAGCCAAACATAGGAGCATTAAAGGGCAAAATCATAAAATACTGACATTGGCCTACAATCTATACTCAAAATTCACTGTAATCTGGGGATTTTTGGTCAGAAAATGTCCATTCCTCAAATACTATATGCACACAAATAGGCAGCATTTTGCAAAAGAAGCACAATTTTAAAGGAGCGCATAAAAAATTACAATCCTGGAGTGGGTCAACAGCTAATTAAACTGATACAAGGACTATAAATGTTATATTTCTGCGATCGCCTTGCGATAACCTACCTCTCTCTGGAGCCGGTTTTCTGCGGCCTGTTTTCGCTCCTGATCCGAGATTGCCTTTTTGAGTTTATCGACCTCTCGCTGAAATTCATCTCGCTCCTGTTCTCGTTCGTTGGCTTGTTCCTGAAATTGTCGCCATATTTAACAAGTCTTGTAGGGACTCCATAACTGCAAGGGGTTAATCTTATCATACAGTCAAACCTCGCTATCTCAAACTTAGTAGAGCCAAGAAAAAAATCTGAGGTATCCAAGGATTCAAGTTATTGAGGTTAGAATATTAATGGGACTCCCACCTCACTTTGATGAATCAGTGGTTTCTCAGATACTGATGTTTGAGATACTGAAGTTTAACTGTATTATATGATCTAGGAAGTACATATTTACTGTATTAGTAATCCTTGGAAAATTTACCAAGATTGATATTAATTCTTCTGGCATGCATAATTTAACTTTGCTTTAGTTAAGTCTTACTATTAGAAGATTCAATATAGCACTTGCATGCATAATACATGGTATATATTGGATACATATCAATTTGTGCATAATTAATATGTAAATTAATTCTTTGCAATATAAATAGTTTATATATATAATGTACACCTAACAGACTTAGTCAACAAGTTTTTAGGGAGTGTGTTTCATTAAATCATAAGATGTTAAATAAATTATTTAGTTAATATTTGTATACATATACTTAATATATAAAGAGTGTACACTGAGTCATAGCTTGATAAAATGCAGCTATACACTACCTATGGCAGAGGATCCATTAATTTATGTGGTTACTTTTTTAGCTTGCATACAGTGATACAGTTATAGGCTTAGTAGAAATAGAAAAATGATTTTGGTATTTTCACCCCCCTCATTTAAAAGAATATCTAAGATCGTTTGCAGTTAAATTTGGTATACAGATGATGTATTACTTCTATAGCACTGAAAGCATGTGTTCTGGATTTGCAAGTTGACATAAGTATTGCACCAATGTCAAAGACATTAAAAAAATTTGCTTTTAATTATAATGATAATGATATTCCAGATGAAATCTAAATCATAATTGTATTCAATTTCAATATACCCAGCAGTGCATTTATTTTAACAGAAATAGCCTTCTAAGTTGACAATTTTTTAAGAGAATATTCAGAAGGAGTTATCTCCCTTATCATCAGATCAGTGAACTTTGAAAAAAAAAAGACTGTGCCATGAAATTTCACAAGCTGTTCTCATTAAGTAAAAGGAAATACTCCTGTTGTCAGATTACTTAAGTATACCCATCCCCCCTCCCCTTTTTTTAAATCTGAATATGTATTGTTAAAAACTACAGAGAGATTTTTCCTCTGAGAAAGTTATAAGTAAACATGAGTTATTTTAAGCCTGATAATAATAAAAATAATTGGAGAAATCATGTAATATAGAATTAGTTCACTGGGTATATATTTTGTAATGCAAGAATATAGTCAACTTAAATACAATCAATTATAAATGATTAGATATAATTAACATGGTATATAAACATATGTAGGAATAAAATATATTAATAAGAAAAAAAATATCGAAAGAACATTCTAGTTTAATTTATACTAAACTTGTCATGCAGATGTTGTTAAAAGAAAACAGTTTAAACATGTTTTGTTCTCTACTCACTTCGCTTGTTAAATTCATGCTCTGTAAAACATTCACTTTTAATCAGATTAAAGGTCAACAGAGGTCACAAAGGGTCATTCAAGGTTAACAGAGGTCAAAAAGGGTCATTCAAGGTCAATAGAGGTCACAAAGAGTCATTCAAGAGTAGTTACAGGCACCCCCTCCCCTTCTCCCCACCTCGATCATACATGCAAATTTCACATCCAAAAGCTAAAATAAGTCACATTGCATTTGTCAAACAAGACCAGTTAACTTTCTTCACTCCATGCATTTCCCTTCCATAAGAAGTTTGGGGTTAAGGAAGCTCTTGCATAAAACCGAGGCGATTACTGAGAATTTTGCATGTCATCTAATAAACTTGATAAAATATGCATTCCAAATCAACATCTGTATAAAATTTGAATTTATAAAATAAGGTCTGATTTTATTGATACCAGCAGACTTATTACATTTCATAGGAAACTTGATTACATTATTACATTTCATTACAATGTGGGTGATATTACAGTATGCATGTTGTCAGTTTGTTAGTACACTGTACAGGGAATTGCAAAAATATCATAAATTTCTGAAATCAGAAATTTTATCTAAAAAGAAGAATGTCTTACTGTTTAAAAAGTTTAAAAATAATTTCACACGTAATATACTTGAAAATTCTTAAATGATAATAAAATATGGGAACTTTAGAATGTGTGATATTGCAGAAAGTTGTATATTACATACTAAAAATATTTAATCAAAGTTCTTTTATACAACTGTTGAAAGCAGTAAGGCATATATTCAGTTATTGGATTTAGCACTTGCAAATCAAATTGTGTATGAATTCACATGAGAAGCACATTGCAAATTAAAGTGAAAAATTATGAGGAAGGAAAAGAAAAAACAAGCATAATTTTTTTTTCTTTAAAAAGACATTTTCTCCTCTTAACATTTTAATCATATTAAAAAAAAATCAAACCATTTTTGACCACCACAAACTGTTTAGAAACACCAAACTTTCATTTTTTTTTTCAAACTTTTGACACATTCCCTGTGACCTATCTGCACTCTTACCTCTATGAAGTGCCGATTTGACTTGAGCTGTTTCTCCACAGAGTCGAGCTGTAATCGGAGATCCTCGACCTCGGACTTTTTCTCCTCTAGTAACTGTACGTAATGTCTCTCTGTCTCCTCCCCCGCATTCTCTAGATCAGCCACGCGTTTGTCGTATTTTTCCGTCGTCGTTCTAAGCTGCAGTTGAAGGTTCCTCTTTTCGTCATTAAGTTTGTTCAGTTCCAACATCAAGGCTGTTTTTACACATAAAAGATACAAATAACAGTTAAAATCAAATGCTTAGACAAATATGGTAAGTTGTCTAGAAAAAAGTTCATCATTAAATTATTTGGTCAAGACTTATAGCTGGATTTAATTTACTAAGTTTGTATGAACCAGCTTTGAAAATTGCTATTTTCTCTTAAATCTAGTTTTGCTGTCTATGATTTTATTAACAAAACACACGCACTCGCAAAAGAACAAACGATAACAATCCCACTTGAGTTTGGTTTCAGTTTTTGACCTTGAACTTTATTCAGTGGCCGGAAGTATTTATATTAAGCTTTTGGTCCAAATATTTACATTAATGTGTTTAAAAGCAATCCACTAAAGAAGTTTTAAGTAAAACATATGTCATATAAAAATGCATTTAGTCTTCCATGTTATATAATATATTTAATTGTTTTTGACATTACTAGCCATAAATTTATTAAAGTGATATTAAATAATATCTCAAATTTGCCCTAGGCGCTATGAATTGAAATGAACCAGTAATTTCTTAGGCGATTTTTTTGTTTTTTTTTGTTTCGTTTTGTTTAGTTTTTTTTTTTTTTTGTTTGCTTTTTTTTATTTTTGTTTTCTTGTTTTTTTGTTTTTTTTTTAATTTTCAAACTATACTACTGTGCAAGAAAGTAATAATTTCAGTGTCTTCTCCCACCCCCTCTACTACTATGCAAGCAAGGAATTGAATTCTAGAAGTAATCTTTTGAGCAATTAAAAAATCCAGAAAAAAAATCATTAAAGTGTATTTTCCCCTTCTATAATTGAAATCTAGCTAGCAATATTCATATGTGCATTTATTTTATCCTATGGTTTCAATGAAGAGTAAAAAACTTGTGAACAAAAGAGGTTTCTATTCTAGCAGTGTAGCTTTGTAGTGCAATACTTGGTGCAATCAAGGAAGCAGAAAAGTGAATGTTTCTTACAGCTGTAAAAGGTCAAAGGTCACTCCAAAATTTGTATCAATATTGTATAACTGCATGTGAATTATTGGGGGTCAAGCAAACACCTGAGGAGTGGGCAGGCAATCAGAAAAATAAAGTGACAAAGGGGAGAGAAATCTAAAATTCAAACTCACAACATCTGCAAAGTATAAACAACACATTTATAATTATAGAAGACAAACTCGACAAACCAATGAGAGATCACAACATCAACAAAGGAAAGGGGGGGAGGTATACTTCCATGACAATTCGTCAACACTCTGCTATGTTTGAAAATCTTCAGTTCAAAATGGCTGTTAAATTTTTAAAGGTATAAATAAAGGGGCAATCATGAAATTTTAATTTTAACACACTGCAATCTACAACTCAATGTTTGATAGGTACCAAACTCTTCATTAACATGATTGATTAATTATAAATACAAGCCAGGTATTAAAACGACCACTGATGAACAAAGATTTAACACTGTCAATTTCAATGTTAGCCTTTTAGATGTCACACAGTTAAATTTTAGCACAGCTTAACACCAATGAAGAAATATTCTGACAATAAATAAATTGATACAACACCTACCACACTGAGCTGAGCAGCTAGTTCTAAAAATACTGACCAATCAAATTAGGAGAAAAATTAGAAAATCTACTGTCAATATATAAATTTACAATTTTTGTCTGTATGTGTTTTTCTCGGCAAAGGAGTTCAAGCAAAGAAATGCTTGAAAAAGGAAATAAATTTGATGAAAATCAATCACAATAGTTTATCAGGATAAATTGTCTTACTTTTAATAACATAGATATATAGAATGAATTTTTTATGGGTCCAATAGCAAATGATTAAGCTTTACATGCACAAAGAGTCCAAGCTTCCCAAAGTTCTAAAAATGCATGTCCCTCAAACATGCTGTATAGCTACTGGTCTTAGCTTACAATAGCTAAGTAGTCCATCATATCCCAAATTCTTTACAATACATGCAAATCAGAGGCATTTATACTTTGTAAATTTTGAACCAATTCTTTTTTTTTTTTTTAGCATTTTTAGCATGCTAACTTAAAAACATGCTTTATAATCTGTCTCTACCTCAAAATGCACCATAAAGACTTCCAATTCATAAAAATATATTTCTTAAAGATCCCTGGTTTTAAATTGCATGCTACTTTAGACAAGAAACATTTTAATTTCTCTCAATCAACAGAATACACTAAGATCTAGAACTCATGATAACAAACCTTGGTCACTAGATGGCGCTGCAACTGTTCCCACGGTAACTGTTTGTATACAAAATGGCAGATATAGCCATGCATAGATTAAACAAGACAAACAGAAAAAATATATATTATCGGCTAGAATATTTGCCATTAAAGAATTTATTATTACTATGAAGCACAAAAAAGATATTCACTGTCAAGCATGTATTTTTATAAGTCAAGGGGGAATTGGGTCATTTTACCAATACCTTCATTAGTAAGTTAATTTGTTGTTTTGTTTACTTAGAAGTTTACATTGCTTCATTAATTAATATATCTAGAGCAATTTAAACTTCTTTTTTTTTTAAAATACTTAGACTAATTTCTTGGAACACTCTTTGTCTGAAATTTCATCAACTTTTAAAATTGACAACATTATTAGACATATCAAAGATGTCCAGATAGAGATTTTATAAAATTTGAAATTGCTCTCAGGTGAGATAATACTTGGTAGTAAATGTTAGACAGACCTAAGAGGGCTTCATGGTCATTTTAAGTCAACACATATATCTCTAAAACAGAACATCGTCATATAACATGACTGTATTCTTTGCTTTAAATTCTCTTTTATTAACAAATATAAGGATGTTTATTTTCATTCTATCATCTTTTCCTTGGCTGGAACCTTTGAATTTTTTAGGGTTTCAATCATGAAGCTCTCTTAGTTAGGAGTTAATCTGTGACAAGAAGACATGCGGGTGTTGAATACAGAAGCAACACACAGTAGAAGGACATTTTATCATGCAATGTACGCAAAACAGACTTCTTTAAATGTTGAAGATTTCCTATCTCATTTGGGACTACGAACAGTGTTCTGATATTACAAGTTGTACAAGTTAAGCTATTCTGTCAACCCTCACACAGAAAATTAATTTTTGATTGGTAATGAAAATTGTACTTTTCAAATATATGGTATTTTTCTCTTCTAAGAAAACAAATGAATCTTCTATCTATATTTTTAACATTTTTTTCCCAATTATTTATTTAAATCCTAGCCTAATGAGAAATAAAAACAAAGCTACATAAATTTAAAAAAAAAAAACAAATTAGAAGATTGTGGGACTCTTAAATCTCTATGTGGTGATCAGATGGTCTTGATCGCCAGTGGCCAGATAGCTCAGTTTGTAGAGCACCTGACTGGAGATTCAGGGGACCCGGGTTCAAATCCCGATTCGGTCCGTCAAATGTTTCTCTTCTCTTGTTGCACTATAATATGAATAGAAGCATGCATTCTGACAGATTTCTTTCTGCTGGGATATGACTTTGACCAATACTATAGTAATACATTACAATCAGGATCAAGAGGGGTAATAAATTTTGAGCAGGACTGTAAAGTCGATATTTACTGTTCTAACTTTTAGAACATCTTTTCCTCTCTTACATTACATAGGGAATTTTTACAGAAAACCGCTCAACACATTCAGCCATGCAAAACATGTCCCCTTTCCCTCTACATTGGTAAAGGTTAAAAGGTCAAAATACATAATACAAATATCATAATTATACAGAAAATTGCATAAATAAAATCATATATATATAACAAAAAATATTAATATAATAGATTAGTAAAAAGAGTTATTGCCCTTATCATTTGGTTCCATGGTTCCAGTGTCGCTATGGATACATTTTATAATTGGTAAACAAAACAGAAAATTAATTAAAAATTCTAAGTAATTCTGAGTAAAAAACTGTCAAGCAAATATTTAGTAAGAGCTTATAGAGGATCGTATATTTGACTGCCTTAATCCGGAGTAACATAAACATTTATATAGCAGTGTGGTGATCTCTGATTAATAATAACACCAATAAAGGGAGACAATTTAGCTGGTATATAATTACTGTAGTTCACCCTTCTCCAACTGCATGCACCAACAGGGATATCTGCATAACATACCTCAATACTAGAATGAATTAGTTCAAAATCCCACAAAAGGCAACTCCTTTGCAAACATTTTTTTTTGATTCAAGATAACTAAGACTTCAGATTTTTTTCCAATAAGAAAAAGTGCTTTAAGCATTTGTCTTTTTAAAAATACAACCAATTTTTCTGTATATTTCCAAAGAAACTGCCTTCACATACAGCCTAATGTATGCTCCTTGTGAAATACCTTAATGATTACTCCCTAGGTATACAACTGGCCCTACCTATGTCAGAAAAATTTGATGTCCACAGTTTGACTGAAGTTTCTACATTGATAAAAAATGTAAGCAGATAATTTCACATTATCTATATACAAAAAATATAAGCAAGAAAGAAGCAAAACTCAAAAAATCCGGTGCAGAAAAATAAGGACAAAGAAATCAGTACGTACCACATAGCAATCCATTTTTTAGAATTCCACCTTTCCTCCATATTAGATAAATCCATTTGAACACAGAAATATGTTTTTGTGATTTCGAGTCAAGAAAATTATCATTGAGAGAAAAAAAAAACTAAAATGAACCTAAAAATGCCAAATATCTGGTTGTTTTGTTTTTCCTGGTTTTTATTTATCTTTCCCTGATATCAATAATTACAATGACAAAATCATCACAATGTCAAAAACTGCCATAAATCCACTCCTTCCAAGTAAATTATATACAGAGAAAAAATATTTGTCCCCTACACATCAAAATAACAAATAAAAAAAAAATTAAAAATCATTTGAGCATATTAATTAATTCTAAAACACAAATCATTTAGGGATTACAAGTTAAAGAGTTTAATATGACCCATGGGCAACAGCTATTCCTGAAACTGCACAGGATTAACAAAGACCGGTGCATACAAACATGCACAGGTCGCCTAAACCTATTAATTAAGATTTAATCAATAATTAACAAAGAATGGAAAAACAACTACAAATAAATCTTTATACAGAATTATGATTTTAATAATCATTAAGGAACATAATGTTGGAGCTGATCTCAAATAAGCAAAAATAATCCACCATAACTTTAATTTTAAACAAAATGTGTCACCTTGACTGTGCCTAAACAGACAGACACTATTAATAGAGAGTAATTCCTACGTGTCTGTTATGCAGGCTGGTTACTTATGTAATTGTTTAGCTACTTGTAGTGTACACAGACAGACAGACACATCTACCAAGTAATCCCTAAGTGACTATCACGAAGCACGCTCTCTCTCAAATGAATGTTAACTATCATTATATCATTTAATAAACAATTCAGGGGCTGTAGAAACCTTCATTCAAACTGTGGACAGATTAACCATAAATATTTACACTTATATAATCCAAAATGTCCAATCAAATAAACACAATCACTATTTGCAGTTATGTCCCTTTAACAACACAGCATTCTGTACGTCTGTCATCATCCTTTTTCGGGGGAAAAAAAACGAAAGTAAAAGGACAATTATGCTCTACATGCTCTGTCATCTTTTTCTGTAACCATGGAAATGACTTTAAACAACACAACCTCTCAATCCCTCTGGAATAGATCTGTTTATCAACTCATACAAAGCATACATAGTAATTCTGTATCTCTCTCTCTCACTGTACTGTCTCTCATGCAGATAAAATATAATTTACACCAAATTAACTTTTGTGTTTTTTCTTCGACATGATTTTCACATGCAAATAACTTGTAAGTTTAAATGAAAACCATGCACAGACCTACCTGGGGTCAGGGAGGAATGAATCCTTTGGATTTTCATTAATATTAAATCTCTATATTAATCAGAAAATGACCTTGGACCCCCTAGAAAACATGGACCCCTAGTAAAATGATTAGAAATATGAAGAAAAGGGATTTGTATTAACTTCCCATCCCTAGCCCCCCAAAATAGTTTTTTTTTAAGTTTGGCCTAACAGAAATAGTGTAACTATAAGCAACCATATCAAAAATGCAATCACAACCCCAAAATATCCCAATGTACCACTCATAACACTTTACATGCAACTATGAGAAAATGAGATCAAATTATACATCGATATAAAAGTGTTACATGCTATAATACTTCATCATAAAAGTCAATGGATTTCTAGTAATATATACTTAATAAGGAGCAATCATCTCTCACTCTATGCTCAGTAACATTCTACTCCAAATGGAGATTTTTGGATGACTTTTTCTCACAATGACCTCTCCCTCCTTTCTCTTCTATTGTCTCTCTACAATGACTACTCCCTTGCCATCAGTACAGTATACTGTAATGAAACCTTTTCTTCATGATGGATACCTTCCATTAAGGTTTAACAATCTGTCAGCCTTAAAACCTTACCAAACAATGACTTCTCCCTGAAGAAATACTAGCTTACAATAACCCCTCCCTGAGTCTGCCTACAATAACCACTCCCTGAGGAGGTAACAGCCCACAGCGACACCTATTGGAACCAATGGAACCAAGTAATAAGGGCGGTTGTCATGGAAACCTTGAGCCTGATCTCCCACATTGGCGTTGAGTAGTTCTCGCTGTCGCTGCATTTCACTGCGGAGTGACGTCGCCTCGTGATGCGAGGCCTCGAGGTCCAGGAGTCTATTTTTAGTAGTTTCTAATTCTAGCACCAAGGCCTCGGTTTTCTCCTCTAGGTCCCTGACTTGTTGTTCGCGCTGATCTCGCTCTGTACTGTAGCCCTCTATTAAACCTGAAACACAGAAACTCTCTGAATATACTGATTTTTAACTGATATCATACATGTACCTGTGGTGTTCCTTAATGTGCTGCAATGGTCAGGAGAAAGATTGTATACTGTAAACATACTTTTTTTCCTGCAATGTCATAATTCCACAGAATCACAATTTCTGTTCTATCCATGGGTAGGAAATTACGAGGATTTCTTGAATTGCCATTGTTTGCTTTAAAAGCACTTTAAGTACACTATGTAAAATTTCTGTGATTTTTTTTTTGTGTGTAAATTAATCTGACACGGAAAAAAAAGAACATCTACAGTATATAATCATTGGAGTGAGGTATGGCATTACCTTCTTTAGTCTTCTTTTATTCAAATTTTAATTACATGTGTGTGTATCTACGAGAGAAGACCAATCTTCAGCTATGTTTGATGTCTTTCTACACATGATGGGTTGTTTACCTAAATTCTGTCAACTGACACTTTTGTTTCAGACAGACACCGTACCTTCTGCTTTGTGTAGCTCCATGGCAAGATATTCTTTAGCCTCCACTTCTTCCCTCAGTCTTTCTTCCAGTTCCTCGCATCGCGTGGAGATGGACAGCGACTCCTGTTGCTCAGATGACACCGTGGTGACCAGTTCGTGCTGGGTCCGTTTCGTGTCATACAGTTGATGGGTCGTGTCCTCAATCATGTCCAGGAGTCTCGAGACGGAGCTCTGCAGGCGGTTACTGGCATCTAGTAAAAAAGAAAAATAAGGGAGTGAATCAAAGCAAAAATAAAGTGGTGGATCAAAAGATAAAAATAGGGGTGTAGATCATAGAATTAACTGAGGAAAAATTATAATACTAATAACTATAATCTTTTAAAACATGGCAATAAATTCAGTGACTGTGATAGAAAATTTTTATGTCAATAATTCATCTGCCTTAGTATTGAGGTCAATGATTTCTTTTTTTCATATGCATTTTAAGTCATTCCATAAAGAAAATGCACTTAAATTTAAATTATACAATACAACCTTCCAATATCAATAGCACAGTTTGAAAATAATTTTTCAAGTTTTGTTTTCCCTTTTCCCCAAAAACTTAATTGATATAACTAGCAGGTTTTCTGATTATTTTTTTTTTTACATACCATATGTGTATTCCATTGTAATTATTAAGTCAGACCTCCTTAACTTTTTCACACGGACCTACATAATTTTAGTCAAGTACAAAGCACTATATAGACAGTAAGTAAATTACTCTACAGGAAAAGTGGAGAGTCATGGATCGTCCATTTAAATAATTAGCCTTCTAAAACTTGTCATTATGTATAAATACCCACAACTCTCAGTGATGTTAGACCAAGATAAAATGACTCAATGCATAATCTTTCTAAAATTATTTCCACCAATTGTTTACAAGTTTCAATGGATATAAACCACTGCACTTGGGCACATGAAGTTTGGAGAAGTGATTCTCAGTAATACTGAGTATAAATATTGGCAAAGTTGACAATTACAGTGAATGGAAACTTTACTTCAAATTGAAAGTCAAGATCTAAATTCAGTATCTGGTGTTTGATCATAAAATGTACTTCATATGTAAATCTGCATTTTTTTTCTTCGAATATGTTTTGAAAAATGAAAGATGATTTTTAAAGGCATATTGTTTTATATTAGAACACAACTTTGTGCTTCCACTCATATAAACTTTGTACTACGCTCACTTGGATGTGTATATTTTAATCATGTCAATTTGCTCCTTGTCTAATTTCAAATGTAACCTTCAAAGCATTTTCTGTATATTTTTTAGCTGCATTCTGCATCAATTTTTTATCTTTAAAACTAAAGCTTACTATATGTTGATAGAATTTTTACAATCCTTAATTTTAACTTTTACAACATATGTTTCACATTATCAGACTTTCTCTTCCCTGTGTATACATTGTATCATAATTTTGTTCCTTCATGAATTCTCTGCAGATTATATCGGCAACTAAACTTTTTTATAAATTTTACCACCATAATTGTACACATCTGTTCTGTGTATTCTATGTGATTTAAATCTCTGAATTTCTTTATAGCTTAGCTTTCTCACTTTCAGTCTTACTCTTTCTCTCCAATCTGTACATCTTTCTTTCTTTCTGTGTCTCTCTCTCTCTCTCAGTAATGCTCTTTAGAATTTTATCAGTTTTCCCCCAGCACTATGTGACCACATTATAACCCCTTGTCAAATCACATTCCAATTCTCCATAATCACACAATATATATAAAATTTCAAACATAATGTTTCTCCTCTGTGTAATACCAGTCAGAGTGGGGAAACCATTATACTTACTGAAGTAATCACTGATGGTTGACATCCCCCAAAACAATTCACAACTTTGTCATAAAAAATTTCACAATTGTCTCCATATAAAACCCCATTACACCAGTGAGTTGTTTACAACATTTATATACACCAGTGAGATGTTTACAACATTTATAAAATGTCTCAACTAAACATAACAATTTCTGTTGCAGCCTCTCTACATTTTTGTCTCGTTGTTTTATGGATTTCTTTTTGTGGAAATATTATCCCATAACAATCACTCCACTGTGATGTTGTATATCTTATAAAGGTTTGTAAACTTAATCCTTAAAACTTAAAACTGAACATAAGAATTTTTGTTGCAGCCTCTCTACATTTTCTGTCACAGCCACAAACAATCACAAATTTGTCACAAAAAATTCCCCAATCAGCCCTATATAAATAAAACCCATTACAGCGGTGATGCTGTTGTGTATCTCACAGTAAAGAAAATCTCCAGACTAAACAATAAGAATTGTTGTCGCAGCCTCTAAACATTTTAGTCACATCCACTTTACACACAGGAAGTCTGGCTGTCTCACATACAACTTGAGTTCATTCATACTCTCTGGTTCTATAGGATTTATTTCCTCGTCTCAGATACTTGTACTTACTCTTGTCAAATATAATTTTTTTTTTAATTTTTAGTTTATTTCTGTTTAAAATTATTCTATGGTTCAGAGGATGATGCCTTTATTCAGATAAAAATTTATATAAATATATATTTCTTTAATTTAATATTCCGATTTTTTTTTTCCCTTTTTTTTTTTTTTGGTTTTGTTTTTTTAAGTACTTCACTGTAAATGGCAAAGGGAGATGTTGTGAAGAGTTATTCCCCTTTACACAGAAATATTTTTTTTTATTAAAAGTAAAAGCTTGATTCAATTTTAAAATGCATTTTCTTTGTATAGCATTTCCAAAGAGAATTTAATATTAGGGATATATATCAGAGGGCAATTTCTTTCTAAATACGAGATAATTTTGCTAATCTCTTAACAATATCAGACATTCCTCATCTCTACCTTGATTTATTAGAAGTTAATTGAAACATACTCTTATGGAGACGACTTGTGCCCAATCCATTTATGTGTTCGGACATAATAAAATATGTTGAAATCATATCAAAAAAATACACTCTGTTTAAAAGGACCATCCATTAATATGCCTTACCCTGGAACAGATCTACATGTATATTTGTGTACCCTGAACCCTGTTAGCTTTCGAGAAATCCCCCTTCCCCTCCCGGGTGGTATCAAGGTTGGGCTCCTGGAAGATGCCCTTGGTTATCGTCCTCTGGGACAGATGTATATTTCAACCCCCCACCCTCCTCCCCTGTTAACAGTCAATTATTCCTCCTCTATGTATTGAGGTCAGGCCCCTGGAAGATGTTCCTGGTGATCGTCCTGTAGAACAAGTGTATATTTCTCTCTTAATCCCCCCTTTTTACCTGTCAGTAATTCCTCTTCCTCTGTATCAAGGTCAGACCCCTGGAAGATGGTCCCTGTAGGACTAGTGTATATTTTTTTCTCTCATCTCCACTTATCTGTCAGAAATTCCTCTCCCTCTGTATCAGGGTCAGCCCCCCCCCCCCCTCACCTGTCAGTATTTCCTTCCCCTCTGTATCGAGGTCAGGCCCCCCTTTACAGTAATTCATCCAAAAATACAGTAATTCATCCATGTCGGGCCCCCCTCCTTACCTGTCAGTAATTCCTCCCCCTCTGTATCGAGGTCAGGCCCCTGGAAGATGCTTTCTGTGATGGTTCTCTGGGACAGGTCCAGTCCCTCATCTGTCAGATTGGAAAGTAAGCTTGTCTCATGGGGAGGGACATCCCCTCCTATAGATTAGATAAAATTATTATTCTAACATGTGTGACATATCCTTAATATACAATATGTCAAATTTAGTTTTTCTTGTTTTGGTCTGAAGTACAGTGGCTTCCATTTAATCGGATAGCGGTTTAACGAATATTTCGGCTATTTCAATATAATATCAGACCACAAAACCATTTCTTATATATTTATTAATAATTTCACCTGATATTCTGATGAGAAAATATTGGAGTTTTGTTTTATCCGATACAAAAATTTGGACTATCATAGTGTTTATTGATAATCAGCACCTTGTTCACACCTCCAACTTCGTATGTGAAGCCTTTGCTTACACAGTTTGACACCAATTACCTTGACTGGCTTGAGTACGACAATGAGGGGATTAGTTACGGCTGGACGCACACAGGCACCTTACCTGTGTCAATAGTGGGCATAGTAAATAGATATGTTTTGATTACAGTTGTGGTGATCAGCTTGGGTTCAATGAGGCACTTGTTAATTATGACAATTATTTGCAATTTTTTCGGCGTGAAATTTTAATTATTGAACTGATTAGCTTGTGTATGACAATTTGTTTGGATAATGAAATAAGCCTATTCAATCGTTTAACTTGGTCAATTATGCTTAATATTTATTCACTTTTCAGTGCAAAATTTATGGTAAAAATCACAAATGGTCCGTTCTATAAATATACGTCTCAAAATTCATACCATCTTTCTCCACATGGCTCTCAAAATCTCTCTTCAGGAGACAAGTACGAGACTGGTAAACTTACACACAGTATAAAATAGGTAACCGTATTAAAGAAACAAATAAAAACGAAACAATTACATATATTTAATATTTTTATTTTTAATTTACAATCTATCCAGGGAAAAATAGTTTATGGTTATTAGTCAAGCATTTAGTCTACTTCCGTTTCCAAGATGGCGACCATCGAAGAAAGAATGTAAACATGTGCTGAAGAAAGATGGCAATAACTATCAAAGAATATATTCTATACGTCAATTTATTTGAAAAAAAATTTCATATTAAATTCATAAGTAATTGAAATAAATTATTTTCAGTAAAGTCTTTAAGTAAACATGTCAAAAGAAAACGAAAGTGCAAGTTTGAAATTTGCTACGATGTATTATCAATACATGTAGCTCTATACATCTATCTTTGGACTCGGTATGGAGCAATCGGCTATTCCAATATTCGGCTATTCGGATAAAACTAGGCTGACAACTTGATTATTCGATAAAACGGGAACCACTGTACCTGTTAAATATCCTACATTCATAATTTTATAAGTTCATATATTAGATACTTTATTGTGATAGGAAAAGCACTGTAATCCTCCTTTTCCCAACAACCCATTAATTCAATAAAACTTTATTTTTTAAATCAAGAGCATTTGATCATGCTGTATTCTATAAATAGCACTAACCTTCAGCACCACCTGGTGAGCTTGGTTCTGGTGGGGTATGGTGGTGACTGCCTGGCGGTGATCTTGGGTGGCTCCCAGGGGGCGACCTCTGTTTCCTTGAGGGTGGGGACCTCCTCTGTACCGAGGGTGAGCCCTGGTCCCCCGTGACAATAATGGCCAGTTTTCTGTTGATGGCATCTTCCACATTGAGGTACGTCTTTACAGCGTCAGACAACAGCTGAAGCAGGTGATCATTTGTTGACTGGACGGTCTCTCTGTCAACCAATCAAAATTAAATATGATTCTGACTAATTAAATTCAGTTCAAAAGTAAATGGTCATTGACCAATGAAAGACAGAGATGTGAGACAATCGTAAGGTTCCAATCTTTGAGAGAGTTTGGTCAATTCTATCTATTTTACACAAAACAGAGTCCGAAAAGCATGAACTTTTATTCATCCTTTTTTCTTCCACCACAATATTTGATTTCATGTCATCAATAGACATATTATATGAGAAACTTAATCTTATTAGATGTTGTAAACACTACTGTTAGATTGGTAACCAAACAATTGTTACCATTTAGATTGAGGGCTAGGCTAAAATTGATGCATGTTTAGAACCAGAAGTGAAAAAAAATATTCTGCAAATTCAAAGTGCTTAGAGTTACTTAATTTCCTGAGTGTTGAATGGCAATACTAATCAGTGAGCTTTTCAAAGTATTTAAATACATTATTTTAACTAAAATGTCAAGATCTGAAAGTGAATTGTTACACACTAAAAATGAGTTTGAGTACATGAGAACTTTATAATGAGAATGATTCCATGTTAACTGCAGTTAAATATGTGTCCTTATGATCCGTGAGGTTAAACTTAAGTCTTTTTAATTCTTGTTATTGTACTTTTTCAGTTTTAATCCTCCTTCTGCGCGGAGTTGCCTCCCTTCTTGCTCTATCCCTCGCCTAAAGCAGCGACACATAAAAAATACAGTGTGGTGTTTTGTATTATTTGATAGAATGTTTGCGAGAGAAAAGTAAATTTATATTTTCTTTACATGTATGATTTCTACTCATAAATGCAACTCAAATTTGTATTTTTACATAGCTCCATTTACAAACAAGAAATATTCAAGAACTTTAAACTGAATGGACAAACAGTTTGGAGTTTATGTACCTTTCTACATGAAGTCGGTCAAGGTCGGTCCGTAACATGACCTCCAGATTACGACTCTCTTCATTCTCGCGTTCTCGTCGCTCAACAATCTCCGCAAACTTTGCCTGTAAACTTTCTATCTCGTTCTCCAACTGTACAAAGATTAAAAATTCTATCTGTAGTAGTCCATAAAATTCATCATGGATGTTAAATTTCACTAAGAACACTATAGATTTCACTTTTAAACCACTGATTTAAAAAGAAACATTCTGAAATATTTCTCCTGAAATGCCTCTTTCTATTTATCAACCCCCCCATCTCCCTTTCATTTGTGTACATCTTTAATTCTGACCTCCTTGTATTGATCATTACAAGTTTCATTCTATTTCCAGCGGTCAAAGGTAAAATCAATTTATGAAATGGACTCTTTTAATTAATTTTTTTAAGTATATTAATTACTCACCCCCTCCCCACTTTGTGTACCTCCCTAATTCTTACCTCCTTGTACTACATTATCTCTACAAGTTTCATTATATTGAAAGACATTGATTTTAAAATAAATTACTGAAATAGCTTTCCCATTCAAGAGGTATTCTGTGTGCCTCTTACTCCCCCCCCCTTCTGTGTACCTCTTACTCCCCCCCATGTACCTTTTACTTTCCCTCCCCTCTGTGTACCTTTTACCCCCCCTTCTGGGTACCTCTTACTCCCCCCGTGTACCTCTTACTTCCCCCCCCCCCTGTGTACCTCTTACTCCCCCCTCTGTATACCTCTTACTCCCCCCTCTGTGTACCTCTTACTCCCCCATCTGCGTACCTCTTACTCCCCCCTCTGTGTACCTCTTATTCCCCCCCTCTGTGTACCTCTTACTCCCCCCCCCTCTGTGTACCTCTTACTCCCCTTCCCCCCTGTGTACCTCTTACTCCCCCCTCTGTATACCTCTTACTCCCCCTCTGTGTACCTCTTACTCCCCTCTGCGTACCTCTTACTCCCCCTTCTGTGTACCTCTTACTCCCCCCCCCCCTCTGTGTACCTCTTACTCCCCCCCTTCTGTGTACCTCTTACTCCCCCCTCTGCGTACCTCTTACTCCCCCCTCTGTGTACCTCTTACTCCCCCCCCCCCTCTGTGTACCTCTTTAATTTTGACCTCCTTGTCCCTGAGTTCTGTTGCTAAGGAAGTTGTCTCCGTGTGCTGTTCACCGGTCGAAAATTCATTGGAGGATCCAAAAGTATTCACAGTCTGTAGCCCCCGGGTCAAAAGGTCACCGGACATGGTCTGGAGTAAGTCTGTCGGTGTACTCCGTCCACTTCCTGTTTCACTGGAAACCTCCTTCTCTGGTGGAGCCTCTGTTTTTGTGGATTGCACCTGCACAAAAAAAAAAAAATTATTTCCTTTTCTAGACAAAATCCCGAGACCAACTGAATATATTGTTCAGAAATTTTCCCTTGCACAAATTTACTAAGACTTCAATGTCTGAGGGTCAACATATATGTTGACCTCTGATTCAAAGTTCAACATTTGTCTTTGACCCCCTTTAGTACTGACTGTTTCTATGACATCAGCAGTCATCACATCACTCCCAGCATCCCGCGGTAAGGCCGGAGGTTTTTCTGTCGGGGGTTCCAGTACACTGCTGCTGTCATCATAACTTGACTCAAACTGAATCAGGTCAACAGACCTCTCCTGGGGGCATGTACCGTTACCATGGGAACTGTCGTCATCCTCGTCCATTTCACTGACTGGGGTGCTGCGTTTGGGTCCCGGTGAAGACAAGTTTTTCAGCTCCTACACAACAGTATTAAAAAAATATAGTGCTGTTCTTACCAGAGTGTGTATTGATTGTAAAACAGTAATGATATATACACTGTGTACCAAAGCAAACACATCTGACAAGTTTCTGTCTTCAGTAAAAAAAAGTTCAGTTTTAGCTTTGAGTAAGAAGGGGGTGTATAAATCTGTATGTCAGTGTTAAGAAAGTACACATTCTTACACCTTGGACTTGGTAGAAATATTTACTTATAGCTTCATGTATAAAGGGTCCATAAACTTCAGGATGAATATGTACTTCTTAACTTTCATTTAAAATCCACAAGGGGAGAGAGAGAGAGAAAGGTAGAATAGAGAGAGGAAGAGATCTGTAATATAAACATTGGGTCTTAAGTACTCAACCAATTTTCAAATGAATTTTATAATTAAGGTCATCAAAACTCAATATATTACCAACTTCTACAAATGACTTTGACTTTAATTTATACATGTTTTAGTTCATAGCAATTTAAAGGGTATACATATCATCATGAAAAAAATCTCTGTTTGCATTGACAAGCCCTTCCTGATGGAATTACAGAGGTCACACATATATCACAATTCTACACTGACTTAACATCTTAATCCCTCAAAGCTCTATTAGGGATTAACTGGACACGTACAATCTGGGATAAAATCTGCAGGTGTCTGTTAAAATCCCTATTTATGCAGCCCTAATTCACAGTTGAGGAAATTCACACATTTAGAAGATCTTCCTGTACACAAAAGTTCCCTTATAAATTTATGACCTTAGTCAAATCACAAAGTTATATTATATATCTTAATTGTTACATGTATGGTTCTTCTCAAAACTGGTACATACTTCTAACAGATTACTGCCCAAGCTTATAAAGTTTGGAAACCAATATAAGTGCATGCAGCAATTAATATACTGCTTCAAATTTACATGATATTTTCCTAAATTTTAACTCTGTCTGCAGTGTTTATTTAGAGAGCATTATAACTTAATGAAAATATCAGTATTGTTGTAATCTTTAAACCTCCCACCTGCTACATGACCTTAATGCACTTAACTCAATAACACACAATATATTCTATAAATAAGCCTGCGTAAAAACACATGCACTGACAATAACAAAACTTAATGAGTAAACAGTGTTGTGCCATCAACATGATTACAACATCATTTTACTGCTTCACACCTATAAGTCTATATCGTACTACATGTACTATTAAAGGTCTGATGACTGTCTATACATAATTGACTTGTTTTAATTATATTCAAGTTCCATGTGCTATCTTGTACACATATATTCAAGTGCATGACACTTTAAGTTTAATCTTCTACTGTGAGTGATCTAGAGCCATGATAGATGTTTATACACAAACACATGTAAACACGGTAAATGTGAAAACCCCTCAAGTTGAATAAAGAGATACTTACACAATTCTAAATGTTTCCACAACTTAAGCTACATTTGTCATGTATGAAATTCCACATTTTAAGCATGCTAACATGCTTATTCATCTAACCTCATCCATTGTACTTGTTTGAATAACACACATATACTCTTTTTACCTCCTACTATAGAGAGCAGTTAATTTGTAACTATTTATATCTCCATTGGGATTCCCCTTTGGCAATAAATATCTTGTCAACACAAATTGTACGGATCTGAACAAATGAACACAGAAGCTGTCACTTGTAAAAAATTTATATGATAATTATACAAACTACTGTTCTTATAACTTTTATCTCCAATTTCAAAGAGCAGACTGCACAAGCAAAGAATTGCACTTTTTCTCCTGACTGCTAGTTTTTTTTTTTTTAAAAGTGGGGAATTAAACGTTTTACTGGAAATACACTAATGCTGCCCAGTAGCAAAAAAATATTTTCCTGAAAAACATACTTCAACCAAAGTAATCTGAATCCACCTCTCAATTACTTAATCTACCATTTAACATATACAGTACACATATAATATATCTAGTACATAAAACACGAACATTAGGTAGTTATAATGTGGGTTGTCCACTTTACCTGGGATTTCTCTGGGTTTGCAGTCTGTTGAAAATACTCCACAACCTTCTTTAGATTATTTACTTCTTCCTAAGAAACATAAAATATCAAAAGGTTATATTTTTAATAGAAAATATATTTTCTTAAGTTAAGAAGTCAACACCTTTGAATTCACTTTGCGTCACAATTTAATTCTAGCAACTATTTTTATTAAGGTTGAACATGCTTATAACAAGTGCCAGGGACAGACGATTTTGCTTTGTTATAAATGTTATTCAGTATAACAGTTGAGTTAACAATATATTTTAAAGCTATAAGCATCAATTCTTTATAAGCTATACAAGCATGTTTTACTATATTTACTTTGACCATACTTTACTTTGAATCTATACTTTACAATTTGAATATTTATTAATTTTACAATTTGAATATTTATTTATTTTACAATTTGAATATTTATTAATTTTCACTTTGACTTTGTTTTACAGTTTTCCTTTATCCTCAGTCAATAGTTTACTTTTCAAAATTATGTTTGACCTCGTTTACAGATGCCCTTGACCTTATGTGTTTGACCCTGACCTGGTGATGCTGTTGGATTTCCTGAATTCTCTCTTTGTACTGGTTCTCAAGGTTAAACAGGTCCTGGCTGTGTTTCTCCATCAGACGGATTTCAAGGTCATGCAGCTCCTCTGTATGTGCTAAGTCAAGGTCATCCTTCTCTGGTCTTTGACCTTGACCTTCAGTGACCTCTCCAGTCAGTGAACTTTTGGTGCTAGAGAGTTCTGGAAGAATGTATTTTAAGCTATTTCAAGGTTTTGTACAATATGAGAAAATAAGCAAATGGAAAACTCATTCAAAAGTAATTTAGAGCAGTAAGTGTTTTCCCCATGACTTTTGTAGAAAAGTAAGATTGAAGCAGAAGTTTACAGACTGTACTGTTGTGTTAGTAGCTACTGAATGTCATGTGAAAATATATTAAATAATACTAATGGATCTACACTAGGGCTAACAATCTGATCATGCATGTCAGGGATTGGTTAATAGTAACCATAGTAATGAAAATGCATGCCAGGGATTGGTTAATGGTTACCATGGCTTGGAAAATACATGCTGGGGATTGCTTAAAAGTTACCATGACTTGGAAAAAACATGCTGGGGATTGCTTAAAAGTTACTATGGCTTGGAAAATACATGCAGGGGACTGGTTAAAAATTACCATGGTAAAGTAAAAACATGCAAAGGATTGGTTACACATATGTGAAAGTTACCATCATGGTAAAGAAAATACATGTAACAGGGGATTGGTTAAAAAAAAGTAACCATGGCTAGGAAAATACAAGTAGCAGGGGATGGTTTAAAAGTTACCATGTTAAGTAATTACATACAGGGCAGGGCTAGGAAGACACATGCAGGGGATTGGTTAATAATAATTACTATGGTAAGGATTTGTTAATTGTTACCATTGTGATAAGACATGAGAAAGCGTTTACTAGATTATAGAGATATCAATTGGTTAATGAAATATACTACTGAGCTAGAAATTGCATGCTGGTTATTAGTTTGTGGTATCCATGGTTACACAGGAAGTGGGCGGGGCCTCTCACCTTTCTTTATTTGGTCGAGTTTTTCTTGGTAGTCCTTCTCTAACCCTTGGAGTGGGAGAAGATGGAAGGCAAAAACAGAAGATGATAGCGAGTCAAGCTCAAAGGTATCACACAGCACACTCATGATAAATGAGATATAAATTCCACACTATATAGTATATAAACTGTTACTGTATCTATTTGTATACACTGTATGTCTCACCCAATCACACAGAAGGCATAATAGAGAAAAAAATGTGTCATATGGACATAGCTCAAAAAAAAAAAGCCTGCCAGATTTAATTACTAATGTGTACCTTCAACATATTGGAACAGAATACAAAATAAATCCTAACCTGTAACCCCAATTTAAAATTGAAAGTTTTCGGTGATCAAGGTTATCCCAATAATTAGGCCAGCTGACTATAAATTAATTGGTAACTGATACATCAAATACATCAATAGTGATGTATTTTTTTTTCTTAAAGGCGGTGTAGGGGGGGGGGGGATTTAATTTTTAATGTAACACTGATTAACCACTTTTGAAAATGTCAAATAAATGTATGTTTGATAGACATATGTATTGAAAAAAAAGTAAGCTATTTAACATTTTTAATTAGACCGAAAAGACTTTAACAGGAACAGAGCCAAAGAAACATGACTGAAAAAGTTCAGACACTGGTCAAAAATCAACAAGAGGTGAATTTACTCCAGGCCACACAGACAGAGAGGCTTAATCCCTTTAATTATGTTAATCTCTGGCCAAGGGAGAATTTCATCAAAGCCTGCATCCATAATACATTAGATTTAATCAAGGTCTAGATTATTAATATTCTTTTTTTAATTTAGTTTGAATTTTTGCAAATGTAGATATCTGAAGCACTGGAATACTTATACACCACATACACTATAATATTTAATCAAAGACTTAAATTTTTAAAACTACATTAAGCTCTGCATATAACTTAATTTATATGGTCTATCCATGACTGTAAGAATCAATTTAAGGAGTTTCACACCAGAGCTTACTTCACATTTGACAGCAAATTCTAACGATTTGTCTGGAATGTGCAAAGTTTTCGTTTTATTTTTTCTGGCCTAAAAAATTCTAACATCAACTGTTTCAGTAATAAAACACTGTTCTCATTCTTTGGATTGATAAATTTTTCCTCATATTAAAATTAAAAAAATTAAGGATATTCCCTAGACCTTGTTATTCCAAAACCATAACAATAAAAGGGTTATTATAATAAACAGTATTGCATTAAGTGAGAATCTTCTATCTGGCCCTCACCTGCTTTAGTCAATGCTCTATCAACATAAATAGGCTATTATGATAATAACTATTAGATTAAAATGAAGACTGCCCTTACCTGATTTAGTCCATCAATATATATATATATATATATATATATATATATATATATATATATATATATATATATATATATATATATATATATATATATATATATATATATATATGAATAGGTTGTTATGGTAATAACTATAAGATTATATGAAGACTGCCCTTACCTGCTTTCAGACTGGCCAGCTTTGAGTTGTACTCCTCTTCAATCTCAGCTATGGCAGCAGCATGAGAACCTTTAAGGTTCTGTATCGAGTTGTCTAAATCAGCACTAGAGTCTCGCCGAGTCAACTCCTCCTTCCCACTATCACTTTCACTTTCATAATCCTTCACTGATTGATCTACAACTAACCCCCCTGAATCTCTGAGATCCTCCCCTCCAGTTTCACTAGTCTCTTCATAAATTTCACTTACTTGAAATCCTTCACTAGAATCTGTTTGATCCACACCCTTATTTTTAGTCCCTTTCCCAGAATCCTTTGTTTCTCCATCCGTGTCGAATTCACTGGAGGCAGATACCATGACGCCAGACTCGTCCACCGTACGCTTGGACGATTTTTCGTCACTCGATTCACTTTCTTTCACTAATTTTTCTAACTCGGTCTCGAGTTTGTGAATTTTATCCTGGTATTTCTGGATCTCGTCTTCGGTTGCCAGAGTCTGGTGCATTCCAGTCTCTAATTGTCTCTGCAGATTCTCCATCTCTTTGCTGTATTTACTTTCTATAGACTCAAGCTTAGCCTGAAATTCCTCTGTCAGAGTCTGTCGTGTTTCTTTAATTTCTTTTTCATGTTGTGCATGTAAATCGTTTATTTCTTTTTCCTTCTCTTCTTGAAACCTTGCCTTAAAAAAAGAAGAAAATCTGTCAAAAAATGGTTTAGTAAACAAACATTATCATATGTTCACATACCATACTTACAAAGAAAGACTTAAAATCAAAGAAGAAAACTGACCTGTTCTGATTCAATGGTTTCCTCAAACTCTTGCTCCATGAGTGACTTTGCCATCTCGAGTTCTGTGTCGATTCGGTCCCTCACTAGATCAGCTACCTCCGGAGCATCACCTCCACGGATCCCTGTAAAATCAACCAGAAAATAACTAAGGAATAACTAAATACTTAACTGAAAAATAACTACATAAATAACTGAAGAAGCAAATATTTAACTGAAAAATAACCAAATACTTTTACTGAGAATAACTAAATAAATTACTGAAGAAGAAGCAAATATTTAGCTAAAAAATAACCAAATACTTTTAAAACTGAAGAATAACATATCAAATGAATGACTAGAGATTAACTAACAAATAATTAAGAATAACCAAATATCATATGAGTTCACTTGGTTATATATGTGTTTACTCTGGGTGACAAGTTAAGCAGTACACAGAAAAGCCTTATTCATGGATAATCTGAGATTTTAAGGTGGCTGGTCTATCAATCTGAGATTTTAAGGTGGCTGGTCTATCAATCAAATCAAGAACTATTGTTTCTTGCTTGACATGCATTATCATTGATTGGGTATCAGGTATGTTTCCTGAAATCATTATGTAATTCATTGGTCTCCGAAAAATCTAATCCCCCTGGCATACATTATTCAGTGTCTGTTTGTATTTTCTGTATGAAGCAATGTCCAGTAAGGTTCTACATGCTAAAACTGTTAACTTTAAGTTTAAAGTAAAATGTATTTGATGTTATAACACTGTTAACCAGATTGTCAACTTACTGTAATAGTCTACTTGCCGTAAAACCAAGGTTTTCTACTTACGGTCAACAAGTGTATCATATTTCTCTTCCGAGGCCTCCAGTTCCTTTTTATGTCTTTTTTCTATTTCCTGTTTCTCCAAGTCGTTACTTTCCTGCATCTCTTGTCGTAACAGATTCATTTTCTCTTCATATTCAGTATGCACTTGTGCTAACTCCGCCTTATAATCTTTCACAAATTCTACTTTCACTTTCTCTTTGAGCTCTTCAATGTCGACATCAGATTCCTCAAGTTCTTTAATTCTCATCTCATAGTGAACTCTCATTTCATTAATTTTTGCCTCGTATTTCTCTGTTATATCATCGATGCACTTCTCACGTTCGTCGTTTAAGACCATGGCCTGCTCTAGATCATCCGTGAGTTTAGTGATTTTGGCCTCATACTCTTGTTTGAGTTTCATGAATGTCTCCTGCTTGGCGAGATTGATCGTACCCATGAGTTGACTCACTGCCACCGCGGACTGAGACTCGCTCGTCTCAGGTGAGCTGCTTTCACTGGCCTCTTCAAAATCTTCACTCTCCTTGAAAGTGTCTTGTCTCGAAACCTAAAACACATAAAAATCAGTTTACTGATGTCAAAAAAGCCATAACTTGATGAAGTATAGTCATCCATGTACATGATCATCAAATGACTTTCATTTTTGATTCTAATGTTGGCCAAGAAAGATGAGGATGATTCAATGTTACAATAAAGACATTCCTAAACCAAGTACTCAAAGGCCAGTTTTATAAGCAGAAAATCTGCTTATAAAACTCCTTCAGTGTCTACTCAACTATTAAAATTAAAAGAAAAAAAAATTATTGAATCCCCCCCTTTCCAAACCCCAGTATGAAGAAGTCCATTTTATGGCCCCGTAATCGAAGATTCGGGGGCATATAGTTTTTGCCCTGTGCATCCGTCTGTCTGTCTGTCTCTCTGTTTGTCTGCAAAAACTTTAACCTTGCCCATAACTTTTGATTGGTTAGAGCTATGGCTTTCATATTTCACATTTGTATTGACAATACCTTTCTTTGGTTACAATCAAATTTGACCTTTTGACCTTGACCTTGGATTTTGACCCACTTTTGCAAAATTTTTTGAGACTTTAAAATTAGCCATAACTTTTGAGCACTTGAAGCTTGGGCTTTCAAGCTTCACTAGTGTATTTCGTGTGAGAAGGCCTTCCTTTGGATACCAACATCTTTGACCTTTTGATCTTGAACTTGGAGTTTGACCTACTGTTGAAAAAACTTTAACCTTGACCATAACTTTTGAACATTTTGAGCTAGGTCTTTCATACTTCGCATGTGTACTCCTTGTGGCAAGGCCTTTATTTGGATACCAACAACTATGACCTTTTGACCTTGGAGTTTGACCTACTTTAATTTTGAAAAAATTTAACCTTGGCCATAACTTTTGAACAGTTAGTGCTACAGTTTTCATACTTCACATATGCATTCCTTGTGAGAAGACTTTCCTTAAAATACCAACAGCTTTGACCCTTTGACCTTGACCTTGGGGTTTGACCTACTTTTGAAAAACTTTAACCTTGGCCATAACTTTTGAACAGTTAGTGTTAGGGCTTTCATACTTCACATATGCATTCCTCGTGACAAAACCTTCTTTTAGATACCAACAACTCTAACTCTTTGACCTTGACCTTGAAGTTTGACCTACTTTTGAAAAACTTTAACCTTGGCAATAACTTTTGAACAGTTAGTGTGAGGGCTTTCATACTTCACATGTATATTCCTTGTGACAAGACCTTCCTTTGGATACCAACAATTTGGCATTGACCTTGAACTTGGAGTTTGACCTACTTTTAAAAATTTTTAACATTAGCCATAACATTTGAACGTTTGGTTCTAGGGCTTTCACATTTCACGATCATGGGTATCACTTGTGATAAGAACTCCCCTTGGGCACCATTTGACCTTGACCTTGCCATTTTACTTACTCTAAAAAAAACTTTAACCTTCGCCATAACTCTTCAACAGTTTGTACTAGGACTTTCATATTTCACAGATATATTCCTCGAGACAAGACCTTTCCTTGGGTACCAACTTTTTTGATTTCTTGATATGGAGTTTGGCTTGCATTCAAGAAACTTTAACCTTCGCCATAAGCTGCCATACGGGGCCATCAGTGTTTCACAAACACATCTTGTTAAATTTATTTTTCCCTTTAATCTGTGTTTTCTTTGCGATCATGTTATCCCTGTCTTCCAGCCCCTCCTCCTCATAATAAAATAATCCTCTTGGTTATGAACACAACTCACCGCCTCCATTTTGCTGGGTTTCCCCCCTTCTTCGTGTCCCTCTGATTCCATCTCCTCTAGTTCGTCGTCCGTCTTGTCGCCCGAGTCCTCAGAAATCTTCTTCTCCGGTTTGACATTCTTCTGGGCGTCGATTACAGTACTGGCCGTCTCCGTAGATTTACTGAGGGAATCGGGATCATCATCCAAAGTGATGGCAGAGGATTCTGGGTAATTTTCAGAGGAGGATTCTGGGAGATTCACTGCCACATTTGTCTCTTCTTGTGTGTCTTTCTGCTGTTTCTGCAAATGCAATTTTTTTTTTAAATGAATGACTTTGCTAATAAGTAATTATCAGGAAAAAACCCAAAATTACTTGGTTAGGTTAATTATAAAGCATGTCTCAACACTGACTGCAAATGTCAATGCCATATAAACTATGGAGGAAATATTTTTGGTCTCTTCATGACATAGTCAATTACAGTATATAAAAGTAAAGTTCCTAAATCCAAGTCAAATAAAACATGAAAATTGAACTAAGTTAAAGATAAGAAATCTATTTTAATTCATGACACATCTCTGTAGCAGCCATATAATACAGTAACTGTTGAACTTTGGTATTTTGAACACGGATATCTCGAATACCATGGATATGTTGAAGTGAAGTCCCAACCCTTTTATTCTTTAAGTATTCACCCTGGATATTTTGAACCCTCGGATATCTCGAAGTTTTTTCTCAGTCCTATTGAGTTAGAGATAATGAGGTTTGACTGTAATTCATTCCCCAGACATAAAACATTTAGATGTAAAGCGCCTTCTTTTGTCTTCATTACAAACAGGTAAACTACAAATACAAGCCATAAGAAAACAAGTGATATAGAAAATGTTCTTCATGGACAGAACCAGAGAGGGTGGAGAGTGTCAGGGGAGTCAGAACCAAAATATTCTGTCATAAGATTCATGAATTAAACTAGACTTACTTGCTATTTGGACCCCCCCCCCTCCTTTTTTTTTTAGGAAGTAATAAAATCCTTCATTAATGAAGTACGAAAACACACAAACAGGATATTTACTTATGATCCCTCCATGCCAGCCCTACTACTCTCCCCTTTTCTCCTTTTTTTCTATCATGTCCAAAAAAAATTGCTTTAATCTTTATCAATTTATGGGTTCTTCCGCCCTCTGGGAAATACTCCTAGATATACCATTCTTCTTTATCTTTATTTACATAATTGTGATTTCATTCAAAGGAAAACAATTGCAATTCCATGAATCTACAGAAGGCACATTTTACTGTATTGGAACCTGCAAAGAATCGATGTGTTGCAGAAGTATTTTCTTTTACTTTGGAGTACATGTATTTTAAAATTCTCCAGTAAACAACACCGAAATCAAATTCTATTTACAAGCCACTTCAATTCCAAAGTAACAGTTCCTACTACACCAGGAACACCCAAAGAATTATCTACAGTTTGGAATGTGATCAGCTGACTTGATTGACAAGTGTTTACCTGTTTACTCCTTAAAAGGTCGATATTTTGAGAAATTCAATCAGCTGATTTACTGATAATGTTACAGTGCTCCAGTGTCAGACTTTGTAGAATGATTAAGGTTCACTGACCCTCTGATAAGAGAGATAACTCTTGGTTAAATGATTATTTATTCCTTCAAGTGAATAAGTGCCATTTCTAACAAATTTTACCCTACAATATTCTAGTACTGTGTAAATTTTAATTTTTTTTTTTTTTTGAAAAATTCTAAGTGTTAAAGCAAAAATTTTAAATGTGTGAGCAGAACGATGGTGCACCTTAAGTTAGGAAATCCTAACCACAGATTTAAATGTCTGTGTATCAAATTACTTAAAGTCAATGAGGTGAGATATTGAATGGTAAGACTTGTCAACACTTCAACAGAATTGTTTCCTTAACCATCAAAGAGATGATGTTATCTTTAGTAGTCAACATACCTACAATGAACTGAGAATTCCTTCTTCTTTTCTTGCCCCCCTCCCCCCTTTATAACTTACCCATCTAAGACGTGATGTTAATTTCCGTAGTCAACATACCTACAATGAAATGAGAATTCCTTCTTTTTTAAACCCCTCCCTTCCTCCCACCCCATCCCCTTTACATTACTCAAAAAATTATTTTTTCACATATTAAGTCAGCAATCAAAAAAATTTCAACCAAAGAAAATGAACCCTCAGACTGACACACACATACACATTTCATTTGTATCTTCTGTCTGTGATCATGATCTGATATTGTGAAAGAAACCATTTTATGCTTTGCTACTAAGTAATATATATTAAAGATTTTGGGCTCAGGACAAAACATTCCTTTTCCTAAAACTTACATGAAAACAGGCTTCGATCTTCATTACTAACCATTTTCATTTTCAATAACAAAATTTAAATATCTTTTTTTAAAAGATTAAATATTATACACCTATTTACTGGCTATGAGGACAATAGCAAGTTTATTGTCCCCCAAGACAGCAACTATTTCCCGAGGCGCAGCCGAGGGAAATAGTTGCTGTCGAGGGGGACGATAAACTTGCTATTGTCCGAATAGTCAGTAAATAGGTGTTTTATTATACCGAAGCCGACTTTACTTATGTTACGTCACAATCTGGATAAAACCAGAAGAGCTCCGAGATGAAAAGCGAGGGAAACGGAATGCTGCCGGTGAATAGTTTGATGACTATTTCACCATGGGCTAATAGCACAAAAACTATTCCACGGTTTAAAAAAATAGCAGGTTTATTCGTCATATTTTTATATAGAAAAAATTCACAGAGGTATAATAAATATATATATATATATATATATATATATATATATATATATATATATATATATATATATATATATATATATATATATATATATATATTTCAATGGATTTTGATCTTAATTAAAAAAAAATAAGAAACTTTGGTGTGTTTGTGATTTATGATTAGACTTTCTTATTTTCGTGTAACAACATGCATCCCCTTCCCATGAAACATTAGAATTTTAAATTGAAATTTTAAATGTCGCTATTGCCAATGCACAAAACAGCAACAAAGGCCTGCACAAAAGGAGAGGAAAACCTGGACCTAATGTTCTATGAACACCATAGAAAGACCAGCCTTTATTTATTGAACCTCCTCTCTTGTTCAGCATAACCAACTTCCAAACAAATGCCCTGGTAGTGCATGAATATGTATGTCAAGTTCAATCTTAATTTGAAAAAATCAGTTCAAAGAAAATTTAAATCTAAATTTGTTAATAAAATCTGTTTCAAAGCTGATTTCCTAAAACACCCACTTTAAATAAATCATTCAGATTTTTATTTCAATTCAGATTTCTATTCAATTTAGCATGTTCCTAAAAAAAAAAAGGAAAACATCTCATTTCCATTTTTATACAGAGCCCCTTTGGTTTTTGCAAGGCCATTTGTAATATTTTTTACGACATTAAGTTTCAAGTACAGATTTACACATGTATGTTCATTGAGGTTTAAATCGATCAATAGATCAATCGATCAATAAATGTTTAAATAACTTTGCTTGACTTCCTCTCATCCGGTACGTCAAAAAGGTGTGACAAACGAAATATACCTGAATTTGTCTGTATCTTGCTTAATATCAATCCATCTTACTGTATAGACCCATTGAATGTAGACTGAAGATTTGACAGTTGCTTGACCAAATTTTGAGTTACTTTACCATATGTACCTATGTAAAACAACATAGACTAAAGATTTGACAGTTGTTTGACCAAATATACTAATTACAGAAAGTTAGAATTCACAAATACATAATGAAGATATAATATGGCTGGACAGGGATTTCAATCCAGGACCCAAGCAGGTGCTCTAACCACTGAGGGACCCAGGCCAATATTCACAGTCCATATAGCCCAAACTACACCGTACACTGAAGATTTCACAGTAATTTGCTTAAGTGAGTAATAATTTGTAGATACATTAATACCGTAATTACTGTAGAAATACATTTTTTTCTGCATGGTATTAATTAACACTATGTACATGTTCACAAATTTTCCACACTCAGAAATTTGTTCCAGTGTTTAAAGTACATTTAAGACATATATTGGCATTCTAAGATATCTGTGTCATTTTCTACCCATGGATTGCACAGAAATTGTGATTCTGTGGAATTTTCCCATAGGAAGAAGTATGTTACTTTACAGCATTAGAAAAACTACATGTAGATCACTGAAGATTTAACAGAATGATCATCAGACTGCCAGTTTGAATCTAGTGGTCAAATATGGAAACCTGCATCTCTCTCTCAACCACAACTTAATGAACCTAGATACCATGTCATGATAAGCACATCAGAAATGAAACATCATCAAAATATTACATGCTGCAACATGGTATCAAATACCAATGGTTATGGCCAAACCCAAAACTTTGCAAGTGAAAAATATTCAATACATATTGCTGAAAACTACAAGAAAATCCCTTACGGTTTAAACCTCCCCCCCCCCCCCAATTCCTATGAAACTTAAGAAGAAATAATTTGAAAGTCCTTATAGAATCATCATGTTGAAGTATATACACTATGCACCAACAGACTTACCAGTTCTTACACACCCCTCTATACATCAAGTCTAAACCTGCTCCATGTTTTAACACAATCATTAACTGATTAATAATTAACTGCTACAGGCCTTTAAATCTATATACTTACATCTTCTAAATGTCTGCTGGTGCCAGCATGTAGAATTTACCGAATAATTAATCCTTATATATCACACAATCGTATCGTCATATTTACAGCAGCAAGAGTGTCTTATGATCATCAATTGCTGGAAATGGAATAAACAGAAATTTTCGACCTTTTAATATGATAATATGTGAGTTCCTGTTAACAATTTCTTTAATTTCAGACTCGTGCCTTTGAGGACATAATCATGACAAGGAATTGGTCTCCAAGAACTTCCAACAAATATCTGCTAGATGAAACAGTTTTAACACAGTTTTAGCAAACGAATCCCAAAATAATAACTTTTAATTCTTCATGAAAAACAATCCTATCAAGTCTAATTTCACTTTTCCAAAAAATTTCACTTCTATCTATGCATATATCTATACAAATCATTAACACAGTATCAGCACATTCTAAGACACACATACACCAAAGTTTGAGAGGCACTACAATACGTTAAATTATTTCAATACACCGTGGAATAATCCCTCCAGAATCCTTTGTTTTCATTCCGTTCATAATCACAGGTTGCACGACTCACAGAATTCCAAGGAACCAAACGTTCTTTTAAAAGGCAGGACTATTGCTATGTTATTAAATCATTAAATAACTTTTTAAAAAGCCCTGATACCCCAGTGCTATATACTGTTGGAAGTATTGTTATAAGTAATATAGGTAAACAGCTTACCTGCACACAGGTATAGTTACCTGTCGATTTCTATACCTATATATCTATAATACAGGTTAATATTAAAGGTAATTCTGATCGTGTGTTAAATCTCTCTGAGATAAATCTGATTTTGTACAGAGCCTTGTTTCTGCTGAGTCAGCTGATAGAGGAATGGGATAATTCTTGAAAGGGGGTGGGGGGAGTGGGAGGGGGGGGGGGTGACATATCCATATTCTGTGTTGAATATTGAATTGAATTTATATAAATAAAAAATATTATAGCTCTATCTTTGTTATTGTAGATGATACTAGGACTAACTCTAGGGAATTCAAAATGAATGAATGTTTTCTTGGAGGGGGTAGTGGAAGGGTCAATATGTGTATCATGTGTTGATAAATGGGCTGAATTTATACCAAAAAAAAAGAATTTTCCTAACTGTATCTTTGATATTACTTTTTGTAGAAGTATAAATGGATTAAATCCCAAATCACTGACAACTCTGTCGACTATCAAATACACTGAGGACTTTGAAAAAGTAAAATAAACTTAAGAATTACAATTATCTTAAATCTACTCACTCAATTTTACACTGGGTAAAGCATTAAAATAATTAAAATTTTTATGTAAGGAAAGCTTTCGTTTCAATGGTGAAGTGTAAGTCATTTCTGATTGGCAGAGAAATGGACTGCATTCAAAGCACTCTTTACCATCAACAATCAACGTCAACACTTTAGAAGAATTCTTGAGACCCATAAATATTCCAAAGGGAATCTACAGTCTTACATATTCAATGTACTTAGAAAGTACTTAACAAATAACTACCGAGAGTCCTTACAACAGCCAGCAGTCTTGTATTGTAAACCTCAGTGTGTGTGTTATACAGAAATCAAACACTCCACCCAATACATAATCTTATATCAACCCTACTTCAGAGACCCGAGTCTCTCCGATTCCATTAACAATGACATAATAATAAATACAGTTAAAGCACATAGATCTACAGTTAAATCTCAACAAACATCTTACCAATGTCTTCAATATTTAGTTTCTGTAAGCAGAACTCAAATTCTTTCACCGAGTGGAATAAACTGTAAACTTCATTCACTGTTAAGTTGTACATCCCTATCCTCTTTACCCCCCCCCCCCCCCCCCGACACACACTGTTATGTCATACCCCCTCTTCCCTCTATACCTCCCACACACACACTGTTATGTCATATCCCCTCTTTCTTCTATACCCCCCACCCACCACCACACACTGTTATGACATACCCCCTTTCCACTATACCCCTCCCAACTCCTGCTGTCACTCCTCTAATTTTAACACTCATTTTTTTAAATAGTTCACCATTCCATATACTCCCCTCCTATTTGCATTTCATTTCATTTCTTCTGTAACCATTTCCTTTTTGAACCACTTTCCCCAACTCCGCGATTGTTTTTGAATTGCCACCCCTCCCTGCAACCCCCTCCTCCCCCCTTCCCCATGAAGCTCCCCACAGTAATCCCTCTGACACCTTGATTAAGCCATTCTGACTCCTCTTTTATTTCTCTATTTTGACCTTTCCTGACTTACCATTTCCAGCTCTGCTATTTTCCTCTCTAACTCTCCCAACTCTTTCTTCTGGTCCTCCTCCATCTTTTTTATTTTTTCTCCAAAGTCGTACGTCATGTCTGCCGCCTGTCGCTTCAGTTCAATCTCTAGTTGAACTTTGAACTCTGACTGCACGTCCATGATCTCTGCTCGATGTTCATGCTCCATGTCCTAAAAAGCATTTCCTTAATTTTCACAGCTCTTTATTTAAATATACAGTAATTAAGGGGGAAAAGTACTTAATCAGATTGGTGGGTTGTTTTTTTTTTCTTAATCAAATCAAGCTGATTTATTACCATCACATGCTTCTTACAACCATAAAATCTTAGTACCTGTTTTTAGACTCTCTCTCTTTCTCCCTCTCCTTTCTCTCCCTCTCCTCTCTCTCTTTCCTTTCTCTACCATTCTCTCTCTCTCACCTGTCTCAATGCCTCTGTCTGCTCCCTATGCTGATGCTGTAGTTCATCATACTGCCCCCCTCTCTCTCTCTCTCTCTCTCTCTCTCTCTCACCTGTCTCAATGCCTCTATCTGCTCCCTATGCTGATGCTGTAGTTCATCATACTGCCCCTCTCTCTCTCTCTCTCTCTCTCTCTCACCTGTCTCAATGCCTCTATCTGCTCCCTATGCTGATGCTGTAGTTCATCATATTGCTCCTCTAATACTCTCTCCTGCTCTAAGGAAGCGTCCAGTTCCTGTTGAAGCTTCAGTAGTTTGTCACTTATCTCCCCTGTTGTCCTCTCGCTCGTCTCTTCACATTCTGCAATGTCTTTCCTACATTTCTCCTCCACTTCATCCTTCTCTCTCTCCAGAATCTTCAATATGGCCTCTTTTTCCTTCAATCTGTTATTCATTTCTTCAATATGGCACTGTTTTTCACGCATCATTTGCTCCATCTCTGTGACCTTGCTTTCTGTCAAGGTCATCTTCTCCCTGAGTTCTATATTTAGTTGAGACTCTAATTCTAATTTCTCCTGAAGTTCATCAATTTCATTTGATTTTTCCTCTAGCAGTTTTTCTAATTCTTGAATCCTGCTGTCAATGTCTGTTGCTTTTGTTTCATTTGCTTCACTCTGGTCACTGCTTTCTTCATTCTGTTCATCACTTGGTGATGTCACTTCCTGTTTCAATGATGTCACTTCCTGTGTTGTGGCTTCTAGCTGACTGCGTAGTTCTTTTATTTGAGATTCATAATGATCTTTTAAATCTTGGATTTCTCTTTCATGTTCTTCCTTAAGTCTGGTCTGCATGGCCTCTTCTGTAAAATATATAACAAAAATGTTATAAATCTGACTGAAAAAAAACTGGCTAAATTGCAATCTAGATTAATATTTAGCATTTAATTTATATAGAAAAAACAATAGAACATGCTCACATGAACAAGTCAATAAATGTAGTGACCATAATAAATGATTTTAGTACAGTTGAACTTTGTTATCTTGAACACCAATACCTTGAATACCATAGATATGTCCAAGTGAACTGGAAGTCCCAAACACTTTTTCTTCCAGTTATCTTGAACCCTCAGATATCTAGTTTTTCTCATTTGCCATCGAGTTCAAGATAATGAGGTTTGACTATATTTCTAACATTCTACTGATATTTCTTCATCCAGAAAGTTTGTCTGCATAAAATCTACTCTTAAAATGGATTAGAGTCTTATGTACCTGATCTTATACACACTTTTACTTGACTGAGTGAGCATAAAACCCTTTTTTCTCTGCCTTGTGCTTTATCTCACTCATACAGAGAGTTACATTTACTTTTGAATGCTCACACTAACCTGTGTCCAAAGATGGCTACATTTACTCAATTGTTCTTCCACTTTAGTTTGGAACACTTTTCCTGCTTAGCATAACTCTAGTGGAGTTGATCCATGTCTAACCTTTGCCTGATCTCATTCTTAAAGAGTTCTACATTTATCTGATTGTTCCTCAACTTTAGTTTGGAACACTTTTAACTGCTCCAAGTAACTCTGGTGGAGTTGATCCATCTCTTACCTGACTGTCCCTCCACTTTAGTTTGGAACACTTTGATCTGCTCCAAGTAACTCTGGTGGAGTTGATCCATCTCTTACCTGACTGTCCCTCCACTTTAGTTTGGAACACTTTGATCTGCTCCACGTAACTCTGGTGGAGTTGATCCATCTCTTACCTGACTGTCCCTCCACTTTAGTTTGGAACACTTTGATCTGCTCCAAGTAACTCTGGTGGAGTTGATCCATCTCTTACCTGACTGTCCCTCCACTTTAGTTTGGAACACTTTGATCTGCTCCAAGTAACTCTGGTGGAGTTGATCCATCTCTTACCTGACTGTCCCTCCACTTTAGTTTGGAACACTTTGATCTGCTCCATGTAACTCTGGTAGAGTTGATCCATCTCTTACCTGACTGTTCCTCCACTTTAGTTTGGAACACTTTGATCTGCTCCAAGTAACTCTGGTGGAGTTGATCCATCTCTTACCTGACTGTCCCTCCACTTCAGTTTGGAACACTTTGATCTGCTCCACGTAACTCTGGTGGAGTTGATCCATCTCTAACCTGACTGTCCCTCCATTTTAGTCTGGAACATTTTGATCTGCTCCAAGTAACTCTGGTGGAGTTGATCCATCTCTTACCTGACTGTTCCTCCACTTTAGTTTAGAACACTTTGATCTGCTCCACGTAACTCTGGTGGAGTTGATCCATCTCTTACCTGACTGTCCCTCCACTTTAGTTTGGAACACTTTGATCTGCTCCAAGTAACTCTGCTGGAGTTGATCCATATCTTACCTGACTGTCCCTCCACTTCAGTTTGGAACACTTTGATCTGCTCCACGTAACTCTGGTGGAGTTGATCCATCTCTAACCATGAATGTCCCTCCATTTTAGTCTCGAACATTTTGATCTGCTCTGCGTAACTCTGGTGGAGTTGATCCATCTCTTACCTGACTGTTCTTCCACTTTAGTTTAGAACACTTTGATCTGCTCCACGTAACTCTGGTGGAGTTGCCATCTCTTACCTGACTGTTCTTCCACTTTAGTCTGGAACACTTTGATCTGCTCTGCGTAACTCTGGTGAAGTTGATCCATCTCTCTCTGGAGCTTTTCCACTTCCTGTGTCTGGGTTGCCATGACTTCTGCTCTGACTTTGAGAAGTTGTTCGTACTCCTCTAACATACGAGAGCGGAGTGCTGCAATCTCTTCACGCTGCGTCTCCAAAGTCTCCTGTACATCTGGAAAAAAAGACACACATTATACAGTAAAACATGCTTAAAGCAAACACCGTTATAATGAATTGACGCTTACAGCGAAGTGTTTTTTTCATTCCCCTCGACTTTTAAATATATTGTAAACTTTTTAACAGATAATACACTTAAAAAAGCAAAATTGTCCATCCCTGGCACTTCGTTATAGTTGTGTTTTACTATAAAAAGACCAATGGACAACATGTTGAAATATTCTGTGGTTCCCATTAAGAAATTGTCTGTAACATTTTACTGACATGTATGCAGAAAGATGATCAAAAGTCTGTTGAACTGGGAGAAAAAAACATTTCAACACTAAGCATCTTCACAATGTCACAGTTTTGAGAGAAATGTCATCACAAAGCTTCAATAGTGTGAAGACAAATACTGAGTAACACTTACCAACATTTGTAAATGCACAGAAAATTAAAATGAATTCAAATCAAAAGCAATTTACAATTCAAGTACTCCATTAGGGAGTAAAATTTACCCTAAAATATGTTATTTTCCTCTGGTCCATGATATTGAGCACAATGTTAAAATGTTGAAAATGATCCACAAGTCACTTAATAAGGAGGGTCCTACACAGTTAATCAATGTGTACAATATACCGCCCTGTAAGACTTGGGGTTTACTAGTGAAGTGAATGTCAACACATTAACATTGAAATGTTGTTTGACTTAACACCAAATCACAAAGAACCATCAGTTAAAGGGCACATTAAAGAGAAAGCAGAGGAAAACACTCCAGTATATAGTACTAGATAGAGGCATCTTAATGTTATACAGTGAACTTTATAAACAAACTCTAAGTATTTTAATTTTACTATTAGGCTATCCACAAGAAAAAGAATCCAACAGAGCTGCTAGTGGAAAAAGCTCTTGTTTTTTTTTTTTTTAATTGCATCAGACAATTAAAGGGATTAAAAGTATCAATTTTATTAAGTTATCCACAAGAAAAAAAAATCCATCAGAGCTGCTAGGGGATATAACTCAAGTTTTTTTTTTATTCCAATAGTTAATTAAAAGGTTTGACTAGTATGCCAAGTCAAAATTTAAGCTCAATTTGAAGGTGTTCTCATTTTACATTAGAATAGCAGATTCATCAGACAAAAAAAAGAGGAAAGTTTTTCACTCAAAGGGACCATCTCATGTTACACAGAGAACATTATCATGGCAAACTCAATGTATTTTAATTTCATTAGTTACTTCGGAATCATTTTAATTCGTAGGGGTTCAATGTTTGTGGGCAAGCAAATTTTACTTGTTAATTGGATTGTAATTTTGTGGGCTACTCATTTGTACAGTAGTTTCAATGAATCAGTATGTTACAAAATAAATGTTCGTAGGGATGTAAATTCATGGGTAAGAATGACCCACAAAATCCACAACCATTAATTGGTCCCCCACCAACAATGATGATTCCACAATAGTTAAGGGAGTAAGGATCTGTCCAAGTTGTTGGTCAAAAATCTCATGGTTTTCATCTTATTTATTCAGAATTCCAAATTTCACACACACAAAAAATAGTTTTTCACTTAGGATTTTAGTTGAACTCTGCTGAAAACTTCATGAGCTGATGGACCGACTGGAATTCAGTAAACTGGTCACCAACTCAGTATACATGTAACTAAATCCAGGAGTTATGACTTTTATTAAAGCCTATTACCAACATCTCCACTGTTTCAGAACTTAAATTCTGACTTCACAAAAATCACAGACACATTCACAAACAATGAGTCCTTTGATCATGTAAGCCTTTAAAGAAGATGTTAACATCTAAACATAAAGGAATACAGTCTCAATGTCTTCATTCAAATGTTATGATAGGAATTCAATTTACATACAAGCTAGATATTCTATTCTTTAAAAACACCATAATCACAATTCTTCTGAGAGATTCCTGAATTTTAAGAGGAACTCTGAATTTTAATTTAATATATTAAATCAGAGGTTCCTCCATATCTCATTGTAGAAATAAATTCAAATGAAGAACAGTGATCAGGGTGATTTTAAAAGTAAAATTTAATTTACCTTGTATGTAAATTGATTTCCTATCATGATATCAGAATGTATACCAGGCATTATTGAGAGAAATGTATTAGACATGTTGAATTAGCAAAGATCGTATGGGGATAGATTTTTTTTTCTTTTTTTTGGGGGGGGGGGGATTTGATTTAAATTGAAGTGACTTTTATGTTAAAGGCAGGCTCCAATGAGAAATCAATTTATTGGTACCTTGTAGAAATAATAAGATTTTTGTCTTGTCTAGATCCTGAGACACAACATTAGTAAGAAAACAAAGTGTGGACCTTTTCACAAATATCTTAAAAATTTTCTAATTCTCCATCAAGAATATAAGCCATGTAGGTCACAATTTCTTCTTTTTATTTAAATTTTAACAGTATCTTGTCAATCCTTTAACAAAGTAATAATATATTGTTGATCATAAGAATTAAATTTTTCTTTTTAAACAAAGATATATCATATATATCACAGAGTTGTCAAACATATATAATATATCTTTTGTCATAAGAGTTTTAATTTGTGAAAATGGCTACTAAACATGCTAAACTCAGAATTTTTTAAAAAAAAGTTAAACTCAAGGTTAACATTTTTTATTAAGTCTGGCATGTGAAAGTTAATCTTTATAAGCTGGATGGGCTTATAAACAATACTACTCATTTATATCATAGATTTCCTTATAAAATGATTTTACATTAACTTTAATTTTGCAAATCCATATCAATTTTTATAGAATGGCATTCAAGAATGCATTTACACCAAAGAGATAAAATGAATGGTAGTCTATCAAATAGGCCAGGACAGAATCTCAGAATATTCTTTCATTGTGATTTAATTATTCCATTTCAAAATTGACAGTTGTTTCAACAAATTTCTGCTAGCCACCTGTAATATATTACCTATTACTAATCATCAAATTTAAAGAAATATGGATTCATGACAAAAACTCAAAATTTTATTTCGATAATCATAATGGAAGATATCCTGTAATTACAGTGTAGCAAACTATTGATAAACAAAATAACTGTGACAGATCTAGGCAAAATCTTTGCTTCCTCAATCCTCTGTTTTAAAGCACTGAAATTTTTCACTGTGCACTAAAGCTCATTTTCAAGGGAAGAAACTCTTGCAACCTTAACATAAATATTCACATGCGGCCTACCAAATCAGCTCATCACAATTTCTTACTCCCAGTGAGAAAAGACATGCAAGTATAAATTAAACCAATTCAGTGTACCAAAAAACACCTCTGTACTTGGTTTCTCAGCACACAGATGCACGGTCCACGAAGTTCCTGATGAGTACATGCTCTCACATCAATGGGAGTATTTGTTAAAATGTGATATATGCCTAATACTGTAGTTTCATTTAGTATTGTGGAGAGTTTGGCAAAAAATACAATTTCATTGATTAATAAATTTACAGGGATGAAATCCTAATACTCTATAGAGTACATTAACAAAGATACTTTGGGGTGAAATATTAAGTACTGTGGAATCATTAAAATTCATGGGGGCCAAATTTGTTTGTGAGGATTTAATTTCGTGTATTCACTCGTATCTGCAAAAGGAAAATTAAATTTGAAAAGTCAGTTTATTAATTCATGGATGATGTTAATTCACGGCTGGGAGGTACCCACAAATTCCAAAAATACTGAGTCACCCCAAAATCTAATGATTCCAGAGTATATTGTGATAAATAAATTACATACCTTGTGCATTATGCAGAACTTTCTCACGTTCATCGAGATGTGAGAATTCTAGCCCTGTGACAGGAAGTGATCGGATGCTGTCTGTCTCGCCGTCCTCCGAGTCTGTCTGCTGGCCCTGAGTATGACGAGATTTCCGTGGAGATCGGAGTCTCGGATCATGTCTGTCCAAACCTTCCGAGATTTTCTGTTAAATTTAAATGAAACTTTGTTCTAAAACAATAAATGTTTGTCTTTTACAGAAATTAGGACCTTTAGACACATAGTATGGATATGTTTCAAAGTTTGCCAAGAAACTTTTGAGGATTCAATCAACAACACACGACGTGACCTTCAATGACTTGATCAGATTTTTATATTAACTCCACAATAGTGTTTTAAATATTTATTCAGAGAGAGTTACCCCCACAAAAAACAAAACTGCATTTCAGCAATAAATAGACTAGTCTCCAATATGTCTTGGGGGAGTTTCAACTGCTGGTGGCCAGATAACTCAGTTGGTAGAGCACCTGACTAGTAATTCAGGGGGCCCAGGTTTTAATCCTGATCTGGATTGTCACATTTTTCTCATCAGTTACAGGAAAAATCCCCACCCTTTTACTCTTTTTCCTTTTTATTATCATCCCCCTTTGTTGTTTCCCTTCCTTTTATACCCTTCCCCCCTTTATAACCCCCCTTCCCCCTTTATTAACCCTACCCCCTTTATTATGACAACCCCCCTTTATTATCTCCCTCTCCCCTTATTACCCCTCCCCCTTTGTTACCCCCTCCCCCTTTCTTATCCAACCTTACCTTCAGTAACTGCTTGTGTTCTTCACTCAGTTTTTTGTTGAGTTTGTGAAGCAGGTTGGACTTGGCCATCTCAGAACCTGTCAATCAAAATATAAGTAACAATTAACTTAATATACCCCACATGTCACCATCTTCTCTTTTCTTCTACACCTAATACTACTGTAACATTGTTAACTGAAATAAAGATAATACTAATTTTGTGATATTTCAAATGAAAAAGGTTAAATTTCTAATTAATAATAAAGAAATATTTTTTTTAAATCAGGCTCTTTTTCTTACTGCAAATAAAAAGAAAATAAGAAGAATGAAACAGTGGAAAAACAGAGATAAATTAAAAATAAGAACTGATTACAGAAATAACAGCTTGCTTAATTGCGTGCAGCAATAAGCTAAGAAAAAGGCTTTAAATAAACTTTAATCCTATTCAGCAAAATTTGTATAAATTTATATATGTGCATCTAAAATACATTAAAAGGATAAATTTAAAATTTAATTTACTTAGTTGCAGAAATTTTAATGTTATATCTTTATATATATAGTGTACGTATAGCACTTGGTTATTGGTGCGTTTATTATGAGATTACATGCAGTTAATATAATCTGACCCCTTGACCCTGTACAGTACATAAAAAAGAAATTATGTGGAGCTTTAATTATTCAGCTCTCTTGTGTGAATGAAATATACTAAGGTCAAACAAAAAAAAAGTTTGTTTCTCTAAATTAGAAAATCACTCCATCTCTAAATTTTTAAATGAAAGAATTTTGTAACAGCTTACTGGAAGACTATTTTTTATTCAAATCATTGAATAATCTTTAGATTTAGAAAATGAACACACATTAATTGGCACGTACTGATTAGTCAAGTCATTTGTTCAGTCGTTAAGTCTGAGAAACGAACACACAGTAACTGTGGCCTGATGGGTTAGACTGTGCTGCGATTTCTCCGAGAGGCTCATGCAACATTAATACAGCCTTCTGTTCGCCTAACATGATTTCTGAAGAGTCGACAAAAAAAAAATCATAACACATCGGGGAGTAAGAGATAGATATGATCTGGTTTGTTGTACAATTTACAAGAGAAAAACATTGTTTCCTCTGTAGTTTTTTCTTCCCAGCAAAAGCTATCGTGGTGATTAAAATTTGCAAAAAATTAAAACCTCTGAAAGAAAGGAAAATTTGGTCAATTAATAAAAAAAAAAATTTTGACAATGTTGACAATGTTGATAATTCTAGCTAAAAATAGAATGCAACTAAAATGTGAGTTTCCATGGTTACTGTGTACAGAAATAAATCGGGTGTCAATAGAATTTATAACAGAATTTAAGATGTTCACACAACACTTGGATCCATGCTAAGCAGGTCGACCCTTCATACTCAAGGGTATCAAATTTCTGATCATTTATAAGCAAAGAGAAGCAGCAGTTTTTTTGAAACCAATACTACAGAGCTAAATAACTGTATAACAGTGAAAAAAAAATGAGATTGTGTTGTATCTATTAACTTTGAAAAAATACACGCTTTGCAAAGGCTTTAAATTAATAAAATCTATCAGTTTTATTCCATGATCACTTGATCTTATAGGTTAATTAAGTGATTTCTAGAGGTGTATGTGAGAAAATTCTAAAAATCAAGCTCAATAAAAGTGGATTTTACGTAACCACTATCATACCGTCACTTAAATATTTCTTAAATGTCAAAATCAGGAAGGAAAACTTGCATTCTTCTTGCATTTTTTCCCTTACTAATGATCAAAAAAAATTATTGTACGCTTCTGTATAAATTTCCATTGAAGAATCAGATCCAATATAAAAAGAAAGAACTGTGAAAATTGTGAATTATAAGAAATTTTAAAAAAAAATCAAAAAGAAAGAGATCTTCTCTTGTTCTATAAACTGTGTAAAATGGTTCTTTACTGTATACCTACTGACAAAACAGTCAACTAGAACATGTAGAAGCCAAAATATTCACTGAATATAACTACATTAACAGCTTTTAATAACTAAAAATATTCAAAGCAAGTATACAGACTTGTAGGCTTATAGACTGTTTTCTGCTTAGTGCTTGCAGATAAACTAAAAATTCAGGTGTTAGTTTCAGTTTTGAGAGAAAATAAATGTCAGTTATTTCTGTTTTTTTCTAAAATAAATTCTGTTTTTTTGAAGCAATAATTAAACTACATGGATCAGTTACACTCAAAGCTCTAAGTAAAGTTACATATTATTTTAATCTCTAAGTCATCCAGGATGTCAAAAATCTATGGAGAAAAGCCACATTCCTTTTTTTTAATTCTGACAACATTGCAACAAGTAAGCCTCCCCCCCCCCACCCTTTTTAAATCATTTTTTTCATGATTACGTCTAGTTAACTAATATAGATTAAAGCAATCTGCTTAAAAACAGTTCCTTTAATATCTCTTTGCTAGTCTTGGAGATAACTAATATATCTATCATCTTGAACGTTGAACTTCTCCATTTCTATTTTAAGTCTCCACTACACTGCGGGACATGTACAAAAGCAGGTTGCTATGGTGACAGTTATACGTTAGCTACTCACCATGGTGACACATATATACGTGTGTGTGAACTTACCCGTAGGAATATCAATTTCAATTGTCTGGACAACTAGTGTACAAAAACCATGCAAATCAATACAGAATACTCCAGTTATTGTAATATCTTTTTTTATGATTATTTGGTTATTGTAATATTTCTTAAATTATTGTAATCTTTTGTCCTTTTTTTCCATTGCATTCCCCCCCCCCCTTTTTTTTATATTTTTTATGTAAATTTTTTAATGTAAGGTCTATTTCTGATCCCTATTCCTAAAGAAGCACCAAAAACAAAAACCACCATGTTGAACAGTAGACTATTTGTAGTCTATTGTTACCATAATGTAAGTAACTATCTAATTGTATAAAAAGAAGTGGACTTAGATAATATCCCTGTTGTACATCTTTCTTTTCTCTGCCTTCATAAGGATGTAACATTCATGCAATAATTATCAATGTAATATAAAAAGTCATTCAATTCATGCAATGGAATACACATTGTAATCATAAATTGTGATTTCTAAAAGCTTTATGTGATCTAAAAGTTAAATACTTGATGCATAAAAATGCAAACACAAAATAAATTAAAAGCAAATATATAAAAACATTTTGTATGTGTGCATTCCATTTCTAAATTTAATACATGCTTTAGTTGTGTTTGACTTCTAAAATGTGTATTCTACGTGAAATCAAAAAGTGTTCAATTAATTCCTTTTATTTTGCATAATCTAACTCATATTAAAAAAAATATTCCAAGTTTTAAAATATAAATTCACTAAGATCCTGGTCAAACAAACCAATTCTCTTTGATGAAACACTGACTGTCCAAAGATTATTTTTATCACTTATGGCTTTATCATTTAAAATTTTCTCATAATTTAAATATTTAATCCTTATTTTGTTGATCGATTCCATGATACAGGATCAGTCTATTCCTGTAAATAATTCCTGTCTATTCCTCCAAATAAAGATCTCTTTTTCTTTTATCTGACTTGTCTTTTCTTTCTTTCCATTGTTTCAAAAAATTTAATCAGATATGTTACAAAGCATTACAAAATTAATTCCTTTGATGAAAATTTCTAATTGACCTGTGACCTTTCTCGATAACCTTATAAGAACAGTGACCTTCACCTTCACAGATTATGAAGTTTTTTTCTTACTTGGTCAAATGTTTGAACACTGTTTATGCTCTCAATAAACAAAGAGACACAAAAAACAACTTATGCGCAGAAAGAGACGGAGGGAGAGTAAGAGTAAATATCTCCACTCACAAATTTCTCCAGATGTATTCCCCTAATTAGGATCAGACTCAATTCAAATGTTCTCTCACCCTAATGCAATTCACTCAAATTCAACAAAAGTCCTATAAAACCTATACACAAGGGACATCACTCATACACCAGGACACCATGTCATATAAACCATATTGTTTTATTTCCTTACTTAGGGAGTCCTCCATTAGTGAATCATTGAGTTCATCCTCATGCTCGCGCTCGAGTTCAGACATCCGACTCGTCCATTCTGCCTCGACTCGACTCATCTCCTCTGAGTGTTCCTTGTTCAGTGAATCACGTAGTTCCTGAAGAGCCACTAGATGGCGCTGTTCTTGTTCTGAGGTCATGACCTCCATCTGACCTTGATAAATCTGTTCCAAGGTCAGCCTCATGGCCTGTAACTGCAGGTTAAACTCTTCCTGTAATACAGATATTGTAATGTCAAGGTGATCTTCTCAAGGCCAAGGCCGATTTCAACTACTCTGGTCATGATTATTCTCGTCAATGGTTACTGGTCAGATTGAATCAGATAACAATTGTTCCAAAGTTTTGTTTTATGAAGTTTTACAAAACTTTCACAAGAAAACCTTGTCTGTAGTACAGACTTAAAATTTAAAAAAGACAAACGAACAAACTTAAAATAAACATGTATCATAATGATTGTTTATTAATTGATCATGTTGATGATGAAACATTTCAAGTTAATATGTGTTGTTTACCTCCTACCAGTTTGATATTGGTATATTATACATTACCATATACTTAGTATGTGTGACTTTAATACCTGGTACTTTGTATGTTGAAATACCTGGTACTGTGTGTGTTGTAATACCTGGTACTTCGTGTGTTGTAATACCTGGTACTTTGTGTGACTGTAATACCTGGTTCTTTGTATGTTGGTCTGTCAGTTTCTGACTGATCATTTTTCCCCCACCCCCTGTAAGATCCTCTCTATATATTACCCCATACTTAGTGTGTGTGTGACTGTATTACCTGGTACTTTGTATGTTGGTCTGTCAGTTTCTGGCTGATCATTTCCCCCACCCCCTGTAAGATCCTCTCTATATATTACCCCATACTTAGTGTGTGTGTGACTGTAATACCTGGTACTTTGTGTGTTGGTCTGTCAGTTTCTGGCTGATCATTTCCCCCACCCCCTGTAAGATCCTCTCTATATATTACCCCATACTTAGTGTGTGTGTGACTGTAATACCTGGTACTTTGTGTGTTGGTCTGTCAGTTTCTGACTGATCATTTCCCCCACCACCTGTAAGATCCTCTCTATATATAACCCCATACTTAGTGTGTGTGACTGTATTACCTGGTACTTTGTATGTTGGTCTGTCAGTTTCTGGCTGATCATTTCCCCCACCCCCTGTAAGATCCTCTCTATATATTACCCCATACTAAGTGTGTGTGACTGTAATACCTGGTACTTTGTATGTTGGTCTGTCAGTCTCTGACTGATCATTTCCCCCACCCCCTGTAAGATCCTCTCTATATATTACCCCCTACTTAGTGTGTGTGACTGTAATACCTGGTACTTTGTATGTTGGTCTGTCAGTTTCTGGCTGATCATTTCCCCCACCCCCTGTAAGATCCTCTCTATATATTACCCCCTACTTAGTGTGTGTGGCTGTAATACCTGGTACTTTGTGTGTTGGTCTGTTAGTTTCCGGCTGATCATTTCCCCCACCCCCTGTAAGATCCTCTCCAGCTGTTGTTGGTGCTCCTGATCAAGACCCTCCTTAAAGGACACCATCTCCTATTGCCCACAAAAAAAGGCATTCTATCATTTGTTAATAATAAGATTTAATTGTTTGTTTAAAGTATATCTTTATAACACAACATTCATCTCAGGATTCATATTTGAAATATTGCATCTGTCACAAAAAAAAAAAACACAAGAGTGATCTCACAGTTTTTACTACAACATCAAAACAGTTTGTCTTCCCAAGAGTGAAAGTGATGGTCTCATTTTCCAATCTCTAACATTAATTTTAGGGAAATATACATGATATGACCTTCATCAATAGTATCTTCAGGCAACTGATCTTCTGGTAGATATCTCTGGTGCTCTGCACTGTAATCTCATTCCGAGTCTGTCTGTGTAACTCACCTGTAGATAGGTATCTCGGGTGCTCTGCCCTGTCATCTCATAATGAGTCTGTTTGTGTAACTCATCTCACCTTGCACCCTGTGTCTGTGTATGTTACGTACCTGTTGGTAGATATCTCAGATGCTTTGCTCTGTCATCTCGCCCTGTGTCTGTGTATGTTACTCACCTGTTGGTAGATATCTCGGATGCTTTTCTCTGTCATCTCACCCTGAGTCTGTCTAGCCAGTTCTTCACGAAGTGAGTCGAGTTGAGATTCATACTCAGATCTCAGGCCCTCCAACTGTGAAAGAAGGAAAAGTTGTAGATTATTCATATTAAGTATTACTGTCTTACTGAATTATTTCTAAGAAAAATCTTAATTACTGAGAAATTAAAGAACAGTGGGGCTTCTATAACCAGGATCATCGGCTTCAGTTGTGTTTCAAAAATTTCCTATCATAAAAGGTATATCAATACATTTATTTCATCCAGACACTTTATTAATTCAGACAATTTAATGAAACACAACTGAAGCCGATGATCCTGGTTATAGAAACCCCACTGTTCTTTAATTTCTCAGTAATTAAGATTGAAAGTTTACAGCTTCTTCATTAAATACCACAACTATTTCACCTTACGTCCTCACTGAACACCGTTTACATACTGTAGACTTACTTTTTTCCACATGAGAATAATTTACGCTATGTATGCTGTCACACATTTTCCATGGAAATTTTTCACAGCTAGTGTGTTTAAATTGATATTGAAGAAATACAATGGCAATCGAAGAAATCAGCGTAATTTTCTACCCATGGATCGAACTGAAATAGCGATTCTGCGGAATTTTGACCCCGTGGAAATAAGTATTCACAGTTACTGTATCATATTCTATAAAGGAGTAAAAAATAATCTTAGCAGTCCTGAACAAGATTTTATATAACCTAATATAATAATTATAATCCCTTAAAATCAATCAAAAGATATTTTGCCATTCCCCATTAAAATTGCTCAAATACATTTTTAAATACATGTAAAATTTAAATCTGAGAAATATTTACAAGTTCAAATCAAAATAAACAGCCATTTTACATCCTTTCTCTATTGACAGTTATGGGTTGAAGGAACGAAATAATTCTATTTGTACATTATTATTGTCTGCAGGTTTGATTACTTAACCACTTATTCTGTGATCTATTTGAATTGCACACATTTTACATCAGGATAAATTCCAGTTACTTAAAAGACAAGCAGCTTAAAAATGTACTGAGTTCAAACACCTTCACAATAGGTCAATGAATCTACAAAACTTCAGGAAGACACATTTTTTTAAAACAATTTTATACATGTCTGTAAACTGTTGGTAAAACAGCATGGTCTAACCAAGAAATTCTGATCAATTGAACAAGGGTGTAATCTGATTGATTGTATGCTGTTTTACATCCCATTCAAGAATTTTTTTCACTCATGCAAAGAAATGTAACGTTGGCAGCTCATAAGTAAGTGCCACTATTTTGACCTCTGCATGATGCTAAGGGGTCATGGCAATTAGCGTTCGATCTTCATGGTGCCAAAGCCTATACCATGACAGGACCTACATTTTTAAAGTCATATCCTAAAGACCCAAGATTTTACTTCTAATACCAGGCACTTGATGAAGGAACACAGTCTTATCTATTTTGAAGTTCTTACTTTTTGATACAGTTACAGAATCAAGAATCAAACCAGGTGACCTTTATATGAGACTGCATTCACATCTGGTACTTGTAATATGAGTTTGAAGTGACTGAAGTGACTGGACAGAGCGAGATATGTGCTTAGAATGAGAAGGAGAAATGTTGAGATAATGTCTATATTTGCACATGAGAATAATTCTTGAGATGTGAGAGATGCTTCTGGTTAAATAAAATGTTTTAAGACAGAGATTAAGTCAAATACATGCAAAAAGGTGTACAGTCAAACCTTGTTATCTTGAACTCAATGGGACCAACAAAAACTTCAAAATATCCAAGGATTTGGGATAATGCATTGTACTTCAAGAATAAGGGGTTGGGACTTCCAAATCACTTTGACATATCCATGGTATTCGAGATTTCAGCATTTGAGAATCTGAAGTTCACCTTTATCTATAGAGATGGCACCAGATTTTATGATGTGTATACAAATTATCATTTCTCCACCTTATAAAGTTACCTTCTTTTTGGACATTTCTATCAGAAATCCATCTGGTTTCCAACTCAGAACCAAGCCATCTTTGTCCTCTAGACCCACAAGCTGCATAGAATCAATCTTAAACATGGCTGCTCTCTGATCTCAAGGGGACTTGAATTTTTATTCCAGTCACACAAAGTTATCAAACTCCTCTTATTTTAGGGGCTCTGGCATAATTCATTCCATAAGAGATAAGCTATTTGACAATTGTAAATATATACACTCAACTCAAACTCAGTTTTAACTTTCAAATGCATTTCAATCATCTAAATACATGATTGTGTAATAAGGTAATTTTCTGGTGTGAATCAAACTTCTACATAATCTCAAGAAAAAACTGGATTTTAAGTCTGAATCACCTTCAAGTGATTTATAAGTAAAATTGTTGCAAGTCAATTAAGTTTCAACTTCTTTATATGATGTTAACAGTAGCAAATTTTGCTGAATTTCATTTCATTTTCACTTGTTGAATTCTATATTTATCCTAATTTACAGATCTATATAATTGTACAATCATCAGTCTTTTATTTTCATGTTTTGTTGAAGTCTCCAGAAAATTAATGCTAAAGGAAATATTTCCTTTCCTGAATTCCATATCTTTCTGTAATTGTTCAATTCTCCATACTCTAATGCAAACAGAATTCTAAGGTCCTTTAAATAAAATCAACATTTGCTATATAGATCTGTGCATGTCTTTTTTACATATCAAATTCCACTTAACAAAACCAACATATGCTGGACATAATCTCCATATACTAGGCTTTATGTATCTAGTTCCACTTTAAACATGATTCAAAATTTTTAATACACTGTTGGTGTATATAATGTAGATCCTGTCTATTCAGTGAATTGACAATAATCAAAGACAGCTGCATAAATCCACATGCAAAGCCTGCATATTTAATATCATCCAAGTCTTTATTAAATCATCCAAGTCTTTTTAATAATTCCAAAAGTTTTCACTTTCAGAAGTATATAATTTTAAAACTGCTGGAGATTATAGATAGTACATTTTTAATTATCCATGAAATTATCTACCAATTTATCACTTTTAAAACATCCACTGAAATATCACTAGAATTTATCCACAGAATTATCTTTAAATTCTTCAATAATTTATCATGGTAAATTATCACACAAACTTAATATCATTATTGGTATCCAGTATATCCTTGTAAATTATTCACTTAGAATACGTTGTCTCAGTAAAATTCCACAAAATTCCTGCATTTCAATTAAAAAAACCAATCGTCTGAAATTTTCACCATATTTCAACCATAATTATAATCAAATGAAATAGTACCCGCAACACAATCACTGTTGTGTCCAATACAACTCAGTTTTTAAAATTTTCACACTGGAATCTCAATAACTTCAATAATAAATTCTAATTAACACTTTCGGCAATTAAATCCATTAAAAACAAATGTACTGTAAATAAAAAAAATATAAATTCCAACAAAACAAACATGTAAATAAAAAATATTCCCAAAGCATGAAGATGAAAATGGAGAATGAGTTTCTACAAGCAGAATTCACTATCTAACCTAATATTAAAAAATACTGTGAGAAGCCCAGTATGTTTGCTCCTGTAGTATCAACGTAAGTCCTGATTAATAGTAAATATTACCATAGTCCCCCTAAAAATCCAATACAACAGGGAGAGTATGCATCATCTATATAGGTTAATGTTTACATGGATGATTGGTACTTCAAGACAGTTCATGTGACTTCAGAACATCTTTTAATTTAATTGTAACAAACTGAAGTATATTATATATCTCATTTGTAATAAATAGCTGGTTTTCTATTCTTTGAGAAACACAGCACAATTATCCAATACCCCCAATGGCTGGCATATACAGTTGAATTAAGGGAATAACTGACCATTCCATTCCAAATAAAAGAATTATAAACCAATTTTGAGCTCAGTCTGACTTGAAACTGAACTAGTCATACATCTTAAGTTAACTTCAACTTGCTTCAGCTTAATTTCCACTTGCTTCAGCTTAATTTCAACTTGCTTCAGCTTATTTTCAACTTGCTTTAGCTTATCTTCAACTTGCTTCAGCTGAACTTCAACTTGATTAAGCTTAACTTCAACTTGCTTCAGCTAAATTTTACTTCAACTTGAGACAAGATTAGCACTCGATCCTTAAAGTTTATATTCAGTTACTGGTTTATTAGAACAACTAAGGTAGTGTTAATTAACTCCCCTCTACCTGTACTGTAACTCATTAAACTTTCATCAGGCAGGTATCTTTACCTTTTGATGCTGGGACTTGATTGATAATTTGATTACTCCCTGGCAATCTGTCCAATAATTCTAACCCCTCCTAGCCTTCACAATCTGGCCAGTACGGTTTTACATATATCCAGTGTTAAGTTGGTACAGGGTAGCGGGGCATGTACAGGACAATATTTGCTTTTATATCCTGTCAATTTATAACTGGTGATTTTTGAGTTATTACTTTATTCCTTTGGTTCTGATATAATTTTGTGCTCATTTTGCTGACATTGTTTTCCATTGCCAAGCACTTGCTTTAGCTGTGACTGTTTGCTTGGGGGAAGTGATCCCTTTGAGGAGGGTTTGATAAACAAAAGTTACGCAAGCAATATTTCCCAAGATTACATTAAATCACCATCTTTTCCATGAAACATTTTTATCCTTCTAGCATAAGAATACATTCATATCTAAGCTTCCCCGACAGCAGGGGTTTGGTCAAGATCGTAGTGGCTACAAAGGTCTATATAAAGCTATGAACTTAATCAATATGCTGGCCTTATTAGCTGCTACATATAAAACGTTAGGTAAATACTAGCTACCAAATCAAAGATGGCCACCTTATTTACTGCTTTGAATCAAGTCAGGTACACTAAAAAACTAGAGGTACTGTGAACACTGAGCTAACAAAATGATACCCTAACTCCCATGTGATTATTGTGGCAAAGTCCATTTTTGGCTATGGGAGAGCCCAAATATACTACAATCTCGAACACAGCACTGGTGACAGTGTGATAAAATGGAGGAATATAATGTTCTCAAGGAAAGTTAAGCTCCAGACAAACATACTCTTAAGTACAGTATTGTAA